ACTGGGGTTAGCATTTCAACATGTGATTTTGGGGGGCACACAAACAGTCCACTGCAATGGGGAAACAGAGGCTTGGAGCCATTACATTACATCATAATTCGACCAGCTCACACAGCCAACTTGTAATGGAGCTGGAAAAGCACCAGAAGTAGGGCTGACCTGGCTGTGCAGCTAGGAGAATGAGACAAGGGATGCGGGTCAAAGTCCTCTCCTAAACCCGACTTGCCCATCTTCAGATCTCAGCCTGGATGTCACCTGGCACCCAGGCTGGATCAGGTGCCCCTCCTCTGTGCCTGCCCCAACATCGCCCTGGGCTTTCTCTTGGTGTGACGCTGTGTCTGTTTGCATCTGTTGATCGATGGGTTGGCGAAATACACATCTCAGACTTCATTTAGGCTACACCACACTCAGATATCTCCACCCCTCCTAACAAACCGGTCCCTCCTGCAGCTTCCCTATCTCAAGTAAGGGCAGCTCCTCCATTCCAGGGGCCAAGGTCAAAAGCCCTGGCGGCATCCTTGCCTCCTCTTGGTCCCTCACACTCCAAGTCCAATCCATAAGCAAAGCCGGTTGGCCGGACCTACCTTTTTCCTTCAACAAAGATCCAGAATCCGCCCCCACCCTCCCTCTCTCCTCTCTCTTGGGTCCACTGATGTCTCTCACCTGACTGACTGAAGTTGCCTCTGGTTGCTTCTTCCTCGCCCTTCCTTCTGCCTCTCCTCCATGCAGAAGCCAGAGTGATCTTTTTAAAACACTGGGACAGGTGACGTCACATCTCTGCTCGAGACCACCCACAGACTCCCCATCTCACTCAGAAAGTAAAAGCCAAAGATCTATCATTGCCTACAAGGCCCACCACTCTCCCCCTTTCCTCATTCCTTCCAGTTACCGGGCCCTCCTCGCTTCTGCCAACACGCCAAGTATACGCTTACCACAGGGCCTTTGCACCTGCTCCTCCCTCTGCCTGGAATTTCCTCCCCCATAAATCCACATGGCTTCCTCCCTCAGCTCTTACTCAAAGGTCACCTTCTGGGCTTCCCTGGTGGCGCAGTGGTTGAGAGTCCGCCTGCCGATGCAGGGGACACAGGTTCGTGCCCCGGTCCGGGAAGATCCCACATGCCGCGGAGCAGCTGGGCTCATGAGCCATGGCCGCTGAGCCTGCGTGTCCAGAGTCTGTGCTCCACAACGGGAGAGGCCACAACAGTGAGAGGCCCGCGTACAGAAAAAAAAAAAAAGTCAAAGGTCACCTTCTCATGGGGCTTTCCTGACCATCCCCCAGTCACTCACCATCTCCCTTCCCAGCTTCATTTTCCTCTGTGGCACTTATTTACATCAGGCATCTTATATATTATTTCCTTATTGTCTCTCTCTCCCACTAGAGTGTAAGCTCCATGAGGACAGTCGTTTTGTCTGTTTTCCTCACTACTAAACCCCCAGCACCTAGAACAGTTCTCGGAACATAGTAGATACTCAATAAATATTTGTTGACTGGATGGACGGATGATGGACCATATTCTTCCACCCTGTTTGTCTGCCTTGCCCACGAAACCCTAAGCTCCTTGAGGGCAGGCACTATGTTCTGTTCACCACTGTATCTGTGAAGGTCACACAGGGTTGGGCACATAAAAGTTGAATGAATGAATGATCAATTCCTTCCAGTTCACAGACGAGGACACGGACAGCAGGATGATGGGGACATACCAAGGCTCTAGCAGCCACCTCTAAATACCCGAATCCCAGTTCCCCTCCTGCCATGGCTGGCTATGGCTACCCTGGCCATCCATGCTCACTGGCTGGAGCAGGTGGGAGGGTTGACCAAATTCTAACCCTGGGTAGCTCCTAAAAGACGCTGGGGTATTTGACTTTTAAACTAATTTCTTAATATCACTTTGGGTTTCGGTCCCAGAGTCAGGAGCCTGATTCCCTGAGTTTGAGTCCCTGGTCCACCACTCATTCCCTGAGGCTTCGTTTTGTCATCTGTAAAATGGGAACTCAGATAACAGTACTACCCGCCCTATCACAGAGGGACCACAGCCTTGAATTGAATGAGGCAATGAAAGAGTTTAGAATGGGGCTTGATGAGTGCTCAGGAATTGTCAACTGCCATTAACAGTTAAGCACTGAGCTGGAGGAGAAAATATTCAATCCCTTTCATGTTTCCCTTAGGTGGATTCCAGGTAATTGAAGCCTGGCCGGATGTGGTTTCGGGTTATAATGCCTCATTTAAGTTTCTGGGCACCTGGACGGTTGGTGTGATTTTCCCAGGTGACACTGAGCACATTATCTGGAGAACAAAACTTCTTTCAAGGTCAGAAACGCCCGGAGAGGCACTGGGGCGGCCAGAGAGAGGCAAAATCACGGGCCTCAGTCAGCTCTGGGCTCCCCAGCTTCCTGGCTGGAATTACACCCCTCGGGATCCTGCCAGCCCCAAAGTTGAGGCTGATTTTGGTGTAGGACAAAAATCCATCCTCCCTTCCTCAAGGGGCCGTGTCTCATTTGCTGGCTAGCTGCCGTGAGGTTTTTCTAATCCTGGGAATAAAATGTCTGTGCCACCTTACCCTGACCTACCTTCCCAGGCTTAGCTCAGCCCCTCTCCCTGCAGCACACCTGCATCTGACCCCCTAGAACCTTCACAACACCCCTACCCCCATTTCCAGAGAGACGAGGTGACCTCCCCAAGGTCATAGGGGGGAAACGTGGTTTGTTGCTTCTTTCTACCACATCATCCTGCTCAGTGATTGAACCCAACACCACGTGCCCCCTGGGATTTAGAATCTGCTTTTACAGATGGAGAAGCTGAGGCCCAGAGCAATGGGGCAACTTGCTGCAGGTCACACAGCTGGGAAGTGGTAGAGGGACTGGCTGGCCTCCAAGCCCAGGATTCCGGCCACGTTTAAAGTGCTGGCTGGGCTTAGAGTCCCAAAGTGAAACCCAAGGTTGAAGTCCTGGAAAGTCTGTGTAGGTGCCCTTGGCTGGCTCAGCTGCTTTTGATCCCGGGTGCCCTTAGGCTGCCTCAGCCCTTCTGGGCCTCACTTCTGACCATCAATGACAATGCTGGCTATTAGCAAACCACCATCCTGCCTCAGCATCTCATCCAACCTCTATTATTATTTTGGTAAGACTGGACTTGAAATCAACTCTCTTTCTCCTTAAAATAGATTTTAGTTTAAGATGGATAACCAGTATCATGCCAAAAAATAGAACAAAAACACCACGACAAATACAAGGAAAATCCAACTACATCCCCCAAATCTCACTAGACCCCACTGCTTGCTCAGGGCTCCCTGTCTTTTAAAAAGAGGAGATTGACAGATGCTTGGGAGATGATTAAGACCCTTTAGCTCCAACAGACATTTTCTCCTTGGTGTAAAGAGAAGGATTGAAGGAGAATTGAAAACTAAGTAACTCTCAGCATTTAAGGCTGGGTTCAGGTGCCACCTGACTATCCCTCAAGGGTCATATGTGGCACTGCATGAAACAGCGATATATAAAACAATGCCATTTACATACATGAAAAATACACATATACTGAACAATATTGATTTTGCAAAAATACCTCCATACAAAAAGATACACATTAAATAATGGTTAGGGATTGAGAGGACATAGCTGATGGGCAGGGTAGAAGCAGAGTTTTGGAAAGTGCAAGCCTTGATGGGCAGAGTGAATGAATGAAACACGAGAGGGGGCTCACATGGACCAGTGATGATCATTTCCCGAGGACTGGTTGTGCTCCAAGGTCTGTTTAAGCACTAACATTCATTCTAAAATTTGGAGTTTCGACTTCCAGAACTTGTTAGGGAAAAGACCCACCCTCACCCCAGTTATTAACACCTCCAAGTGCATCCCAGGCCGAAGGGAGGCTAATGACCTGTGATCTGAAGACAGGACCAGATCCCTGGCTGGCCGGGGAGCGGGGGACACCTTTGCCAGCCCCTGTTTCTCTCCTTCCACTAATCTTGTCCCTTGACCTCTAGGTCACTGACATTCCCTGATGGTGGGCAGCGTGTGGGCAACTCTGGGGCTTTCCCTAACCTGCATCTCAGCCCTCAGCCTCATCTCTCCTGCCTGGTTCCAGACCACCACTTTCTCCTTTGGTGTCCTCACCTACTGCTCCTGGCCTCAGGGTAACAGCTGGAACCAGAGCTGTGGGACCTTCAGGTCCCCAGATGATATTCCTGACTTTGCCTGGAAGGTGAGGCGTGGTCTCATCCATTCACTGGGACCTGGCGATGGGGCACTCTTAAACCCATCAGAGCAAAAAAAAAAAAAAAAAAGCCAATTTCTGCTCACCTTCCTTCTAACCTCTGACTCGGTAGGTGTGGGGTGGGGTCTGGCTATCCGCATTTTAGCAAACACCCAGGATGATCCTGAAAGCAGGTGCCAGCATGCAGTGCCTTTGTACAAATTAGGAAAAGGGCGCCCCTTCTTCAGGACACTATACTGCCACCTGCTGGAAAAGTACTGTAGTCAATATGCATTTCTGTGATGACTCCCAAACGCATCTGCTGGAGTTGTGCAGTGCACAACCTGTACACACCTACCTGGTCATCCTCTATCTAAGCGCTGCTAGGTTTGAAAACCACAGCTAAGGTGTTGAAAGTCACTGCAAATTGCCAAATTCAACAATGGGCACAATGGGTTGGGACTCCCAGTTAAGCACCTCTAAGGAAGATTACACAGCCTTCAAAACCGATTACAAAGGTGCCTCTCTTGGTGACTCTGCTGTATAGCAGGTACTCAATAAACGGAGGGTATAGTGGTTGTAGATCTAGATCTTAATTCTGACTCTATCTCTTAAGTAGCTGTGTGCTCTGAGGGAAATGACTCCAATTCCTTATACCTCTGTTTGTTTATATGTAAAACAGGGATAATAATAGCACAGACCTTGTGGGATTTTGAGGACTCAGTAGCTGATCAGTTAAGCAGAGAGAGCAGAGACTGCCCCCACCCCAGACAACACCCTCCCTCCTTTCTCTTCCTGGCAGGTCTCAGCTGTGATGCTCCTTGGAGGCTGACTCCTATTGGCCTTCAGTGCAATTCTCTTCCTGTCCTGGGCCTTAGCCCCCAAAGGGCTGTGCCCAAGGAGGGGCAGCGGCCCAATGCCAGGGGTGCAGGCAGCAGCAGGTAAATCTTCTATCACATATGTGGTCCAGACATGTTTGTGGAATGAATGAATGAATGGATGGATGGATGGATGGATGAGCCTGTAAGCAGAGTCTTGTCTCCTAGTTGAATCTCAGAGATAAACCCTAGGATTGTAGACTATTCCAGGTCCTTTAACAAGCCAGAAGTTGGAGGTAGGGAATGGTATCCTTAACATCACCCTCTCTTGCCCTTATCCAAACCCAGTCTTAATAGTCTGTCCTCCTTTGTTTCTCTCCCATCCATCCACTTTGCATCATTTTTACCAGGACCATCATATACAGTTGGGCAGGTTGTGCACTGCACAAGGGCATCCAGCTGAGGGCTGAGAGCTGCTGAAATCTAGCCATGCTCCAATTCCTAAGCTGTGAAACTGCAGGGCTGCGTCTGCCCAGCTGCATCTGCTTTTCTCTAATTCACACATCGGCTTGGGATGATCTAGCTCAGGTCTTGACTGAACCTTCATCCAATTAATTCTCCACCATCTCTCACCTGGTTTAGAGGTGACCACCTCACACGTCTCCCTGCTGCCACCCTTGCCCCCTAGAGTCTGTTTGCCACACTCTGGCCAAGTGGGTCCTGTTAAAGCTGAAATCTGACCATGCCACTCGGACTGGCTTATCCACGCCAATGACTTCCTGTTACCGATGAGGCTCCACTGATGAAGCCCTCATTCGCTCACTGACCTCATCTCTTACCTGCTCCGCCAGGCTCAGCATGCTCCGGCCAAACTGGCTTGCTTTCTGTTGCTCATGAAAACCAAGCTTGTTCCCTCTGCCTGGAATTCTCTCTTCTCAGATCTTCACATCTTGCTCCTCCCACTTCATTAAGGGCTTTGCTCAAATATCACTGCCTCAGTGGGGTCTTTCATGACCTCAAGGTAAGGGAGCTTCCCTCTCCTTAGAGTCTCCTTCCTCTTACCTTGCTTTCCATTTTTCATAGCTCTTACCTGCCTGCTTGATAATATCTTATCTGCCTGCTTGATTACTGTGCATCTCTCTCCACTAGAACATCAGCTCCATGAGGGCAAGGACATGTCTGCCTTGATATCACCAGCATCTAACACGGTACTTTGCACATAATAGTTGCTCATTAAATATTTGTTGACTCAATGGATGGAAAATCAGTCCTTGTCCTCCAATGTCTACTGGGGATGGGGTGTATTAGGCAGTTATAACTCAGTGGATATTTGGCACAAGAGGATGAGCACAGGATGCAAAGAAAAACTCCAAGAGGTACCAGACCCAGTGTGTGGAAGGTGTTAAGGAAGGCTTCCTTGAGGAGGCATCACTGAGATGAATCTGGAAGGATGAGTGGGAGTTAACCAAATGTAGAAGGGTGTTTCAGGTAATGGGAACATCATGGGCAAAGGCATAGAGAAAAGAGCAAGGCATGTGCAGGGAACTTCAAGTGGACGAGAGTGGCTGAAGGGTGGCTGCAGGTCACGTGACTCTCCTGCACGGGGAGTGCCTTCTAGGTGCAGAGGTGTCCGGTTCATTTTCTTAGTATCATTAGTACCTTTGACAGAGTGCCTAACAGTTTTGATGAAAGAGTGCATGGATGGATGGATGGGTTGGTGAATGGATGGAGTAGGTGGGTAAGTAGGTGGACGAGCTGATGGATGCATCAATAAACATATTACTGGAAGGATGGATGAATAGATAGATGGATGGAAGGATGGGGAAAATGGGTAGACTGGAATACGGATAGATGGATGGATGGATGAATTGGTGCAAGGCAGGTGGCTAAGTGGGTGGATGGTTGGATGGATGGATGGATGAGTGAATGGATAGGTAGGTGTAGGAATGGAGAGAATGAGTGGATGGGTGAGTAGATGGACAGATGGGTGGAAGGCTAAGCTGAGTGATAGGTGGATAAAAGGATAGATGAACCAATAAATAAGTGAGTGGATGGATGGATGGGTGGGGGGATAGGAGGGTGGATGAGTGAGTCCTGGGATGGAAAGGCAGCCCAGAGCCCCTTGACCGACACACTGGTTTTCCTTGCTGCTGTTTCTAGCCATCGCCACCATTGTGGGCCTGCTGGTTTTCCCGATCAGCTTGGCCTCCCCATTTGCCAAGGAAGCCTGCTCAGCCTCCTCTGTGTACCACGGTGGTCAGTGCCAGCTGGGCTGGGGCTATGTGACTGCCATCTTCCACACAGTCCTGGCCAGCCTCCTGCCCATGTTCAGGTGGCTCCACGTGACCGAGGTCCAGCGGAGGACCATCCTCTTCTCCAGTGACACTGAGAGCATCATCCTTGTGCCAGAAATGAGCAAATAAAAATATCTCAGGAGGAGCAAAAAGAGCCCATGCAACAGTAGTATGAAATCACCACGCACCCAGGTTCAAATCCCACCTCTGCTGCTTCCTTGCTGTGTGACCTCAGACAAGACACTTCACTTCTCTGGGCCTCGGTGTATACTTCTGTAAGATGGGAGTGTGTGTGAAATAATGCCTACCTCATAGGGTTGTTATGAGAATTAACTTAAGATGCTGTGTATAAATAAAGCCCTTAGCATGATGTTAGGCACTAGTATTCAATAAACTTTAGCTATAATTATTATAATCCCTATCTCACAGGACTGTGGTGAGGATAAATCTATTCATGAAAAGTGCCTGGGGCAATTCTGAATCCGTGGTCACCACTCAAATACTACATCTTTTAATAAGTATGTGCATATTCTCTATGAGAGAATAAAATAAAAATATCCTTCCCTTTTTATAACTCCTCCTCTTGGAGAATTTGAAAATTTTTCATTTTCCCATCAAACGTCTAGTGAGTGCCCCTTATAGATGAGAGTTGGTCCAGTGCTGGGGTGGGGATTGAGGGGGTGTCAGGCAGTAAGGACCTATCTCACCCCTCCGTGGACAATCCCACTGACGTGGAAACTTCACTGTTATTTGGGGAACATGAGGCCCCTCACGATCCAGTCCGAACCTCTCTCTCCAGCTTCTTTCTTGTCATTCACCCAACCCTGCGCCTCTCCCTCCAGCCACACTGAATTCTGAGCTCACAGTAGGTCTCTTCACAGCTCCACCCCTTTGTACACATTGCTCTCTCTGCCAGGGATGGAATCAGTCTGTTGCCTTTGCTTATCAAGACCCATTGCCCTTCTTTGGGAAAAGCACCCTAATCTTCCCTTGGGGAATGACCCTCAGCAACTCTCTGACCACCCCAGGCTTTAGGATGGACAAATGAGTCCTTCTGGCCAGTCAAACCCAGTCAGAATGATTGGTTCAGAGATGGGCATGGGACCTGTATAAGCCAACATGGACAAGAGTGGAACCACCAGATAGACAAAGATGGAGCTCTAAAGACTTCACTTGAGTAGCTGGATGCAGCCACGCCTGCTCCGCTACCTGCAAGAGACACAGTCACAGGCAGCTCCAGGCCGGTACCCCTCTAGTTAGACTGCCCAGAAGAAAGAGTGAACTGCTCTCTTCCCAGGGATGGAATCTGATTGGCCAGAACTGAGTCATGTGCCCACTTGGGGGGAGGGGCTTGTCAGCAATCTCAATAGACCATAACTATAGTTATAACGTAGGAGATACATTTCCCCAGAAGATGGGAGAAGTTGCTGGTCCTAGAATGGGGCAAGGATGCCAGGCAAGCAAAAACATTTGATACCAAACTCTCTCTTTAAGGGAAGCTTTATTATCTGCATTTCACAAAAGTGAAAACTGAAGCTCAGAGAGACAAAGTCACTTGCCCAAAGTCACACAGCTGATCAGTGGCAGAGCTGGGATTTGAATCCAGGTCTGTCAGACTCTGTGATGGAGGCAAAATAACACCTGAATTTGTGATCTCTGCCCCGACCCAGCTCACCAAACTCTTTTGGTTTTAAATGTTCAACTAAGAACATCTGTAAATAACAATATTATATTATTAGAGCGATTCTATTATTTTGAAAACACACAAACCACAGAGAATGCAGCTCGCATTCGTCTTTCAGAAAAAAACAATAAGGACAATAATTACTTTAAAAAGTAATAGAATAATGGAATAAAGTAATAGAAAACCCAGGAAGCCACCACATGGTATCCAAATGGACTCGAAGACCAGTGGTATGTTTCAAGTGTCATCAGCACTTTGATGTGAGTCAGGCTTCCGTGGGAAGATTCCAGGAGGCCCAGGCAGCATCCCAGTGCAAAAAGCAGCAAGTAGATGCCGCCAAGAAGAAGCCCAAACTCAGCTTCAGGTCACCCACCTGCGCTAGGGATGAGCCGCCTCCTCTATGTAATAACCTTACAGTAGCTCCCAAGTTCCTTAATTTTCTCCTTCAGCAATTTCAGCAATGCCAAAGGGAGCAAATCTGCAGGCTATGAAGCAGAAGCATTTACACAGACACTGTCTTTATTTGACAAGAGCCAGAGGAATCTGTCTGTCTTATTTTCTGTTCAGCATAAGAGGTATTCTTTATTTGCAGGAGCCCTTTACCTGCTGAGGCTGGAAATCATTGTGCCCACAAGACTGAATAAAGCAAGCCAGGAAGATACTGCAGGATTTCTGCCCAGCACCCCGATGTAATGGAAAGTCCCTAGGGAACGGCATCGTTCTGTAGGTCATTTGAATTCTACTAGGTTGACTTAGCAACGGATTGGCAAGCTGGCACTTCAAAAAGGATCAAACTGTGCTCCTTCTAGAGTCTATACCTGTCCTGGGCTCAAGCTCTCAATGTGTGCAGCAGCTTAAAAGCCTGCAGCACAGAGACCCGAAAGCCCTTCCCTGACTCAGCAGAACCCGATGCAAACTGCAGAGTCAGAGTGGGTTTTGCTCCTGCCAAGAACTGATGGCCTCACCACACCTAACTCCAGTTGCTCTGTCATAGCCCCAGAGGGCTCAGAGCTCATCCCTTCCCCAGTTCTCCTTCAGGAGCTGTGTCAAAGATTCACCTGAGAACCTGAGCAAGACAGATGACGGGAACTCAGGGAAACTGAGGTCCCAACCAGGAAATCATCCCCAGTGATGCTAGGGGCAGAGGGTCCCAGTGGAAAGAGGGCGACCAGGACTGAATCCAGACCCAAGGGAGGCATTATTACCCCCAGTTCACAGAAATGAAAACCAAGGCTCAGAGAGGCAAGGTCACTTGCCCAAAGCCACACAGCCAGGAAGCGGCAGAGTTGGGATCCTAAGTCATCCCTCCCCAAGCATGTGGATAAAGATATAGGACCTGATTTTAGTTGGTGTGGTGAGAAAGTCACTCCCACTTCAATCCTCCTTGAAGTCCTCCAAGAAGAAAGGCTCGTCTGGTGCTAGCACGTCTTTAACCTCTCAAACCCTTAGCGCATCTCTTCTTAACGGCAAGAGAGCAAGCTTCAGAAAGCCTTTGGTGGGAAATAGTATTTTGGCAAAATAAGATTTATTTTTACAACCATCTTCTGTTTATGCAAATGATTCTGGCTTGCCATAAGTTTGAAGTTTTAAAAAATGAGTTGATTTAAAGAAAACTAGTAAAGGGACTTTCCCTGGCGGTCCAGTGGTTAAGATTCCACGCTTCCACTGCAGGGAGTGCAGGTTCGCTCCCTGATCGGGGAACTAAGACCCCACATGCAACACGGTGTGGCCGAAAAGTAAAAAGAAAAAAGAAGACTAGTAAAGATATAATAGTACAGATGGTACACAGATATGGTCCAAATCATAAAGGTGGACTGCAGGTGACTTGAGTTTGATGCTGTCATAAAACCTGGGGAGAAGACTCATTGATTGATGGATCTAATGTCTCTCAAACTTGAGTATCTGTTGAAAAGGAAAGAAATCTAAACTACTTCCTCCCACTGCCCTTGACTGTACCCTCACCTCCTTTCTCCGATGGGCTGCTGGGACCTCAGGCCTGGGAGAGAAGGAGGGAGGGATAAGAAGGAAGATGAAACAGGATGGCATAAATGGTTGCAGCCGTTCTGAAACGGGATGGTCGGGGCCTCCCAAACTCTTTGCATGAGTGCTTCTCAGTTGCCCCATGGCCTCTCCCACAAGCCAAATGGAAAGCTCAAGGTGAAAAGAAAGTGGAATGTGATTTAGAAGAGAGATGATAGAGCAGCCAGAGGGTCTAAACCCAGCAGTGTTGTTCTGAATGAGAACAGCAACATTCAGTCAGAAGACATGGTGACGGACAGTGTCCACATGCCCATGGCTACAAGGAAAGGAGGCAGAAGGCAGAGGAGAGGAATCGGAGGGATGGGGGAAGGAGAAGATAAAGAAATGGAGGAAAAGATGGCGGAGGTGGTGGAGGAAGAAGAAGAAAAAGGGGGGAGGAGGGGTCCACAGTGACAACTGTGTGTGCCATACGCATGGCAGCAAAGACCCCTTCTCCATTCCTGCTTCGAGTCACGAAAACGTGCCTAGTGGCCCAAGACTCGTCTTCTCACATCTATGCAAGGTGCAAATGCATGTGTTTAGGAAAAACTTTACAAAAGCAAAACATTCTCTTAGGATTTTTTTCCCACAAAATACATCATCCTTTACTGTAAGTCAATAGTGCATGTAACTGCACATTGGTACACACATAACAGGTATGCTGGTGGTACCCAGGTCTGGTGGTGCCAGGCAGCTGCAAGAATAGTGGGGTCCTCCAGGAGGAGGGCCATGTGTACCAAGCTATGGCTGGAGCTGGGGAAATGAGACCAGTGGCTTCAAAGGATGGTCAGAACATCAGGACCAGTCTTTGCTCTCAGAAGCTTCTCCCAGGAAGAAGCAGACCTTCCCACTAAGAGAGCCCCATGTGGGCCAGCAAAAGACAAGTCCCCACCTTCCCGCTGCTGTGTGGCTTCAGACTTATCTCTGCTGACAATCTTCCAAGAAAGTGGTGACTTGGGCTCAGCCAGGCCACCAATGCCACCTGAAACTCCTTTACTTTGCTGGCTTATTTGGAAACTAACTTTTTCTATAGAAAACCTGAAGTTTTGATGGGTGCTCATTAGATTAAATCAAGCTTTGCTTCTGCAGCGGAAAATCAGAAGTTTCCCTTGGTGCATGGGGGTGGAGATCCATGTGAGGTCTCAACTGCCCAAAGACTGTGGCTCAGAATGGCAGCCGTGAGTGGGAATCATAGATATTGAGGAGATAAGTTGATGGTCTATGGGAACACTGGGGGTGAGAGAGGAGCTAGCTCAGCAGTGGGGATACAGTGAGGCATCAACTTAGAGGTACACTCTTGAGTCCAATGGCTGACCATCTTGGGACCCCTCCTGTGCATGGACCTTGGGATACATGGTAGACTGTTTGCAAAAATACTCAATTATTTCCGTGCCTGTATTTACAGCCCTTTTCATTGTCACTTTTCAAAACCTCCCATCAACTGGCGGAATCTATTTCTCCATCCTTTCAATCTGAGCTCAGCCATATGACTTCTTTGACCAAAAGAATATAGTAGAAATAACTTTATGCCAATTCCAATCCTAGGTCTCAAGAGGCATTGCACACTTCTGTTTGCTCTCTTAGAAACTGCCATCATGGCCATGTAAACAAGCCTGAGCTAGCCTAATGGAGGATGAGAGATACATGGCCCAGTTTCTCCCACTATCCTAGCCAACAGCTGGCCAATTGTCAAAAGCAGAGTTGCCTGGCTGGCCATCAGCTGATCAGAGACACACAAAGAAGTCGAGCTGAGACCAGAAGAACCACCCAGCTGAACCCAGCTCATATTGTTGACCTACAGAATCATCACAAGCTAAATAAATGGCTGTTTGAAGCCACTAAGATTTGGGGTGGTTTGTTACACAGCATTACTTGTGGTAACAGCTAACTGATACAAAGGATGAGATGAGATTCACCAGCCTTGAACTTTCAGGGGAAAGACCAGGGAGCTATCATAAGAATACGTCCCTCTCTGTGTCTGGGTCACTGAGGTGGGGTGGAGGGTGGGGTATGAGGACACAGTCTTCAGAAGCAAGCATTTCTTTTTTTCAAATTAAAAAGAAAATCCCCAAACAAAGAAACAAAAAATAACCCAGGTTCACATGTTTCTGTTTATATATTTTCTCTCTATATAGACACAACTCTGTAGTAAACTGTAACAAGATATGTTGGCAACACTGAGAAAAGGAGGGCACTCCATAGATAAAACAACTCGCACGCATACGATTCAGGGACACAAGGACACACACAACGTACAAAGATCCAAATAAACACAGTAAGCCGAATAAATAGGAGTTATTCCAAATCACAACCACGACGCTCTCTGGAACACCACGAGAGAAGGCAGAGAAGAGATTTTGTGCTGTACTTTCAGACTAGTTCTGTCAAAAAATAAAATAAGAATCGGAAGGTCTAGGACCTGGGTCTTGCTAAAATAACATCCTCTGTAGTGAACAGTTGAATGGCAATATAAACTTTTATCTGGAGGGGACTTTCATACACTTTCTCCCATCTTGGGAAGGTGGGGGACTAGGGCGAGGAGATGCATTTCTCACGGAGCGTTCTTTGGAAGCGAGGGCCATCTAGTCTCATCCATCCTGCCCAGGAGACCATACTCAGGCGGAAGTTCAGTGCAACCTAAAGTGCTGGGTCCGAGGGAAGTGCCTTCACAAGCACGCCAGGCAGGGACTGCTCCCCTTCCTGGTTTGCTCAGGACGGAAGGACTAATGCACTCTCTCGAGAGCGAATGCTTCAAAGTGCTTGACGAGTCTCCTACCCTCTCGAAAATCCTACCTGCCATTCTTGGGACGAGCATCCCTCCCCAACTCTCACTGTTTCTCCCGACTCTCGACTCTCGTACACTCTCGGAAGAGAAGGGCTGGCAGGACCACTCTCTTGGGAGGACAGGTAGGCAGGTAAACTAGCTTGCTTAGGGTCTGTTTGGGGATTGGTGACCCTCTGTGTGAAGACATGGAGGGGACCATTTCCAGTCTGGTCTGTGACCCTGGCACCAGTTCATCAGCTGATGTTTCTTTCCCAAGGAAAACACCCGCCATACCCTACCTGGGCCAACCTCTGTCCTCCTTTCCCTCCTTTGTCCTGAGTGAGCAAGGGCACTTAGAGAAAAGCCAGCCTCCCTAAACAAGTGGCTTGCACCAACACACATCTTCCAAGCTTCTGGAACATCAGACCCGATGTATGGAAGGAGAGGCGAGGTCCTTCCTAGGAAGAGAGGAAGGGGATGTGGACTCTGCCCTGCCCGGGGGCCCCTGAGCAGGACCCGGAAGAGGCCTATCTCATGCTTACAGACACTTCTCACAGGCAGACGTCTTTCTTTAAAAGAAGAAAAAAGTCTCTCCTGGGCCAGGTGGAGGAGAAAAAATGAGAAATATACAATGGTTGAAATCCCGGACCCCAAGAGAGATGTGCAAAGGACCCCATGTGCCTTTTCTAAATGGAAGAAAATCTCAGGATGTAGGCGGCTCAGGTACAAAGAAAGTGGAGAGGGAGATACACTTGTAGCCCCTCCTCCAAGCCAGTGGTTCTCAAATGGGGCTATTTGGCAATGTCTGGAGGTGCTCCGGGATGTCACAAGGGGCTGGGGAGGAGGGTGCTACTGGCACGTAGTAGGTAGAGGCCAGGGATGCTGCTCAAATTCCAACAGTGCACAGGGCAGCATCCCTCCAAAAAGCATTAAATGTCAACAGTGCTCTGCTCCAGGCCAACCTTCCAGCCACGTTCTGGAACATCTCCAAAGGCCCCTTTCAAAGTACAGAGGTAGCCCCACAGACCTCTCCTATACCAGTTTCCAAAAAGTTCCCTCCCCAAGTCTCATCTGACAAGACAGTTGGAGGGATGGGAGAGAAGAGGGAGGAGACCATTCTGGGGACCATGAACGAAGATGTTCCCTCCGCACACCAACAACTCCCAACTCCCACAAGGGAGAAATCCCAGACTTGGGCAATCTTTGGTCAAACAGAAAAACGTAAGGCTGAACTGAAGGGGCAATCCCTCGATCCCACCTGCCTGGTGGCCAAAGTTGGGGTACTTTCTCTTTGCACAGAGGTCCATGCTCGGGAACAGATGCCAGGACCTTGCTCCCTGGGCGGCCAGGAGGAGAAGCAGGCGGGACAGGCAGGTGGGCAGAGGCTTGGGTGACGCTGCCTGGGTGACATGGTCCTCACTTGTTCTCAATCAGGGTCTGCACCTTGTACACGAGGTCCCGGGCCAGCTTCAGGACCTGCTTGGTGTTGTGTCGCTCGGCCATTTCTGAAAGAGCGGAAGTAAGATCTCATGAGCCTCCTTCTGTGTCCATCCTCGGGACACACTTTCAGTGCTCAGAGAGGTCTCTGGGGCATCCCCATCATCATCATCATCTGGCATCACCCCCAGAGCAGTTCTGGAAGCAGAGACTCTGGGGAAGGCCTGCATCTCCAGACCTCGGTTTTCTCATCTGTAAAATGGGAACCATAACAGTACCTACTTCACAAGGTTACTGTGCGATCAAACGAGACGAAGCTGACTCTCAGTGTGTGTGTTTAAAAAAAAAATTAGGTCCTCCCACCACCCTCCTACAAACATAATGACTGGACACCTTTTAAGAAAGCAATGCCAGGCACATGGTAGGTGCTTAAAAGTAGAGAAGGAAGGAAGCAACAGAAGGAGAGGGGGAGGGGAGGGGAGAAAGGACCAGTAATCACTTTGTCGAGAGTGACATAAAATGATCAGCTCTTCAAAGCAGAATAATCCTAAACTTAGACATTTATCATAAAGAACTCATTTGGGGACTTCCCTGGTGGTCCAGTAGTAGTCCCCACCTTCCAGTGCAGGGGACGTGGGTTTGAATCCTGGTCAGGGAACTAAGATCCCACATGCCATGGGGCAACTAAGCCCACGTGCCACAACTACTGAGCCCACATGCTGCAAACTACAGAGCCCACGCGCTGTGGAGCCTGCGCACCACAACTAGAGAGAGACAACCTGCATGCCACAGCTAGAGAGAAGCCCGCATGCTGCAATGAAAGATCCTGCATGCCGCAACGAAGATCCTGCATTCTACAACTAAGACCCGACACAGGCAAGTAAATAAATAAATAAATAAATAAATAAAAGTTGAAATAAAAACAAATAAAAATAGGGATAAGTAACATTAAAAAAAACCTCAGAAAAAACAAAACAAGAGAGAAAGAAATGATTTGGTAGAAGAAAAACAAACAAACAAACAAAAAACACTAACACCGTGGTTCCCAAACTGGGTGCTGAGGAATCCCAGGGTGCCACAGTGAACACATGGAAACTTTGAGGGAAATACAGCTATCTTCCACATCTACTGAACACCACATAAACTGCTAATGCAAGTGAGTTTGCAAATTTCATGACATTCCTATTAACGGCTTTCTAGCTTTGCAAAAACTAGGTTTTCAGCAAGCAGTTGCCGTGATAAAAGCAACTATCATGTGAAAATCACTGTGGAATAGGAAATGAAGGTGGTGGGGTTCAAAATGATTCCAAGGTTTGAGAAGTCGTGCAAAGCCCAACAGGTGAACACACCCATTAGTAACTGTACTTATTTATTTATTTATTTTTATTTATTTATTTTGGCCACGCCGTGTGGCGTGTGGGATCTTAGTTCCCTGACCAGGGATTGAACCCATGTCCCTTGCATCAGGAGCACGGAGTCTTAACCACTGGACCGCCAGGGAAGTCCCAGTAACTGTACTTATTTAAATATAAAATAAAAATACGATTTTCTTTTGACTTACACGTATTATTTTTTCAAATGGCTACTAAGTTGTTAGGAGAGATATACTTATTAGGTGGTTTGGACCTAACTAGTTAGTGAATGGAACTTTTGGTCCGAGTGCCACGAAAACTTTACGGAGACATCAGGGGTGCCATGAACTGAGAAAGTTTGAGAACCTCCACGCTAAGACAGGAATTGCTTTGGGTTCTCAATCACACCCTCAAACCAAAAACAACCTAGATGCCCAATCACAAGGGACGGTTCAGTAAGTTATGAACAGTCACTTGAGGTATATTCTGCTGTCTTAAAAAATGATTATATAGAAGATGGTTTTTAAAACATTAAGCGGAAAAAACCCTAGATACAACTGGATTCTGAAATGGTAACAACATAAAAATATCCATTACTTTGGGAAAGACTAGATGGAAAAAACATTTTTTAAAAAATGAACCCACTAAGTACAGCGTGGTTTCCTGGATTGGATCCTGGAGCAGAAAAAGGACATTAGTTAAAAACCAAGTGAAATCAAGTCAGTCTGTAGTTTAGTTGATAATAATATATCAATGTTAATTGCTTTGTTCTACAAATGTACTAGGATCAGGTAACATATTAACATTAGGGGCAGCTGGGTGAAGTGTATTGGGAACTCTCTGTACTATCTTTGCAACTTTTCTCTAAATCTAAAATCATTCCAAAATAAAACAGCTTCTTTAAAGGAAACTAATAATGTTTCCAGTGTAAGGTCATCACAGGTGGCTTTTTTCTTCTTTTGCTTTTTCCAAAACCTTCCTTAGTTTAAGAAAATGTTTTAATAGTGATAATATTGATAGTAGCAACAGCTTCTATTCATAGTAACAGCTATGAGCCAAGTACCATCTGACTGATGGGCTTTATATCCTTGTGGTCTCATTTAATCCTCCTGACATCTCTGTGAGGGAGGTGTTAGTACCATTTTATCCCCAAGGACTCTGAAGCCCAGAGACATAAAGTCACTTGCCCAAGTCACACAGCTCCCAGGTGGCAAGGCTGGGATCAGAATCCATCTCTGTTTGATTGCGAAGACTGTGCCTTTTTCATGCCATTTCAACTGCTTTCCTGTATCTGCTTTCCCTACACACGTCAACCTTCTGAAGAAGACACTGTTACTCCATTTCCCAGATGCGGAAGCAGATGTTTAGAGAGAGGGGAAGTGACGTGTCCATGGCACAGCTGATTAATGGCAGAGCCAGGGATGCTCCCTGAGCCTGATTTCAACACCTAGGCCCCTTCTGCCAGATCCCTGAGAAAAACACACAGGGATCACTCAGCATTACAAGATGTTAACTCATCCATTTGGAAATAGCTGCAAGAAGTGGGGAGAACCCTCCTCCATCCCCTTCATGGTGTATCAGTCTCAGTGACCCTCCATCCCTCTCCAGGCCCCAGGAAGGGGCCCTCCAGAAGCCTGCATCCCTCAGATAAGACCTGGTCACATGGATACCATTAAAAAATTTGATGATGTCTGTGAAATCCATGTTGTTCTCCAAGATGATGTCACGGTAGACCTCCACCAGTGCCAGCGCGATGAACAGGACATAGTGGGCGGACGACACGTGTTTGGCTGCCCAGATGGTCTCCCAAACAGAGAAGACGTCATCATAGATGAGTTCTGCCGGGACACCAAGACACACGCGCAGGGGAAGGGTCAGTCACTGAGCTCACGGTGCTGCCCTCCCTCCGGAAAGATCCCAGGCCAGCCATGGTCCGCGCTTCTGTCCTGGAGCAGTGGACAGAGCTCAGGCCAGGAGACAGGAGACCTGGACGCTGTCATTTGACAGAAGCCTCAGTTTTCCCCTCTGTAGAATAGGCTATGCAAACCAGGTGGGTTGTAAGTTTCCAACTCTGACATCCTGTAAGTGGAGGAACCGGGCACATGCAGATTTGATTTACATTGACCTGTCCTTGCCCTGCCCCTTGGTCAGTGTCCCCCTCTCTCCCTGCTCCCTCCATCTCTTTTAGCACCAATGGGGGTATCTCCTTTTCCCCCTGCACGCAGGCAGGGCTGGCTGCTGCCTCTGGGTCTGGTAAAGAGATAGAATAGAGCAATGATGAAAAGTAAGGCTTCCTATGTCCAATAAACTCAGTCTGAATCCTGGCCCCATCACTTACTAGTAAGGTGACCTTGGGCTAGTTACTTCCCCTCCATGAGCCCTTCTCTTTCCTCATCTGTAAGTGCGGTGATACTAACAGTAATAAAGGACTGAAGAAATAATACATAGAAATGGCTCAGCACAGTGCCTGGACCTTAATAAACACCTCCATACAGGTTAGATATTATTAGCATCACCCCAAATTGGCATGACAGCAACGCACCGTGTCAGACATCATTTCTAAGTCACGTGTGAAAGAGGCTCTATGGGCTTCAGAGTTCTTGGCCTCTCATAAGCAGCTTAATAGAATGTAAGGGAACTGGGCTTAGGTAGACAGAGTGGGGCTCAGATCCTGGCTTTATTATTCCTAGCTCTGAATTTAGTTCTTCTCAGTCTTAGTTTCCTCATCTGTAAAATGGGGATTGTGACAACACCTACTGCATAGTGTCTCTGCAAGATAAGTTGGGTGAACTGATAGTCAGAACTCAACAAATGGGCATTACTCTCTTCCACTGGCTTTGTTACAACACCTCCCAGCCTCACCTCCCTGGTACCTTTTCCCCTGAGATTCTGCTACAAAGAGTCTGAGAACAAGTTTCCAGTTTGAAGTCTGTACCTCGCTTGAAATCCAGCAGGAACCAGCGGTAGCAGAAGTAGAAGTGAGTGTAGTCCCCATTCTGATGCATCAACTCGAAGAGCTCTGAGTCCAGGATCTGTCAGAGAAAGGAAAGATAGGCATCAGTCTCCTGGGCAAAGGCTAGACTAGAGGGGACAGCTGAATAAATGATGCTACCTCCCCACACCAGATACCATACAGCCCTTAACAACCAGGTGGAGTTTAAAAATGGGCAAAGGATTTGAGGTGGAAGTCAACCTAGCTCAACCTAACCCCATCATTTCTCTAAAGAAGATGTGCAAATAGCCAATAAGCACGAGAGATGCAACAAATGGGCATCATTAGCAATTAGGAAAATGCAAATCAAAACCATGAGAGACCACTTCACATGCACTAGGATGGCTATAATAAAAATGACAGACAACAAAGCGTTGGTGAGGATGAAGAGATACTGGAACCCTTATATGTTGCTGGTGGGAATGCAAACTGGTGCAGCTGTAATTCCACTCCTAGGTATATCCCCAAGAGAAATGAAAACCTATGTCCATATAAAAACTTGTACATGAATGTACACAACAGCATTATTCATAACAGCAAAAAAAGTGGGAACCACTCAAGTGTTTATCAGCGGATGAATGGATAAACAAAATGTGGTCTATCCATGCAATGGAATATTCGGCAATAAAAAGGAATGATGTACAGATATATGCTATAACTTGGATGGACCTTGAAAGCATGATGCTAAGTGAAAGAAGTCAGACACAAGGGGCCACATATTGTGTGACTCCATTTATATGAAATGTCCAGAATAGGTAAATCTATAGAGACAGAAAGTAGATTAGTAGTTGCCAGGAGCTGGGGAGGGATTGACGTTAATGGGTATGGGGATTCTTTTTGGGGTGATGAAAGTGTTCTGAAATTAGATAGTGATGATGATTTCACACCCGTGAATATTCTAAAAATCACTGAATTGAACATTTTAAAAGGGTGAATTTTATGGTACATGAATTGATCTTAAAAAAGGTGTGTGTATGCATGTGTGTGTGTGTGTGTGTGAGAGAGAGAGAGACAGAGACGCAGAGAGAGAGAGAGAGAGAGAGAGAGAGAGAAAGCGAGCGAGAGAGAAATATACTCAAATATTTCTTTGCAGAAAAGGACCAATACAATCAAACATCCTGTTAAGGGCGAGGGCCATGTCTTGTTCATCAGTGTAGCCACAGTGCCTGAACAAATAAATGCTCAGTGAGAATGAATGTAGTGGAGTTGAGCTGTTGAGTGAAGGTTGAGTTGAATTGAGTTTTTTAGTTTAACTCAACTGGGCTGAGTTAAGTAGGATTGAGAGACTGAATCAAGTTAAACAAGGCGTGGCTATTAAGTTGGCTTGCGGTCCATTGGGCTGAGCCGGAATAAGTTATATTATTGAGAAGCACAAGGTCCTACCTGGATTAGCGACCTCATGTTGGCAAAGTGCGTGTCCATGGCGCCTCCGTGGGGGAAGTTCTGGTTCATCCTCTTCATGAGCTCGGTGAAGCAGCTGAAGGCAAGCGCCTCTGCGGGAAGAGCACAGGAGGAACAGTCAACTGCGCCACCGCCCAAGGAACCCGAGGTCCCGAAGTGATGGTCCGAGGCCCTGAGCTGGTTCACAAAGTCCACAGCCAAATGAGAAACATAAGGACAATGGAGTACAAATGTATACCATTTCAAGGAACACTCTCCAATTAATTACATACTTCCCACCTTTAGAGGTACTGAAGTGTTTTATTTTAGGAAACAATGGTGACAGCAAAATGCTCTGTTTTAAAGATCCCTATTTGCTATAATGAAAAGTTGACAATGTTTGGTCCCAAACTTTTTGAAAAAAAAATTCTACAGGGTTCATGAAATTCTCATGTCTGGGAACCACTGTATTAAAAGAGCAATTGTTAATACTGGAAGGGTGTTTGCAGGCCTTATGCAAAGAAAGGGCCAAATAACATTGAGAAATGCTGCTTAGAGAGCCACTACCTATATTAAGAATGAAAAGGCTCTGAGAAGTCATGTAATTTAAAAAATCTTTTATATTGTTCAACCCAGTGTTTAAAAAATTTATTTGAAAATAGTACCTTTTTTCTCTCTTAACACCTAGTAACTTTGGGGAAAGTTATGAGAAGGTTTCCAGAGGCACAGTAGGATCTCATTTATTTTTTAAAAGACTTTATTTTTCAGAACAGTTTACATTTACAGAAAAATTGGGAAGAGTGTACAGAGAGTTTCCATATACCCCACACTTCGTTCCCCCTATTACTAACATCTCCCATTAGTATGGTACGTTTGTTACAATTAATGACCCACTGATGATACATAATTGACTCAAGTCCATAGTTTTTTTTCTCTTATGTCCTTTTTCTGTGCCAAGAACTCATCCAAGGACTACATTACATACAACTGTCATCTCTCCCTAGGCACCTCTTAGCTACGGCAGCGCCTCAGGCCTTCCTTGTTTTTGATGACCTTGATAGTTATGAAGAATACTTGTCAGGTATTCTACGGGATGCCTCCCTATTGGAATTTATCTGATGTTTTTCTCACGATAAGACTGGAATTATGGGTTATTGGGAGAAAGACGTAGGTAAGGTGCCATTTTAATCACATCATATCGAGGGTATACTGTATCAATGTGACTGAGGATGGCTGATGACCTTGGCCAGCTGATAGAGGCAGTGTTTTCAGGTTTCCCCACTGCATGGTTTCTCTCTCACCTCCCACCCCCTTCTACACTGAACTTTCTGGAAGCAAGTCACTATGCTAAGCTCTGAAGAGTTGGGAGTCATACTTCCCATTTTAAAACAGCCTTACTGAGGTTTACATACCATAAAATCCACTCTTTTAAATGTATAATTCACTGGTTTTAGTATATTCACATCTGTGAACCAAAATCTCTAATTTCAGAACATTTTCATCACCCCCCAAAGACACTCTCTCTATATCAGAGGTCATCACGTATTTCCCTCTTCTGCAGTCCCTGTCAACCACTAGTCTATTTTCTGTCTCTACAGATTTGTCCCTTCTGCCAGCAATCTTATTTTACTGTTGCTAAAATGCCCAGCTCCTCACATGCTCTTGGAGGCAGTTTTCATATCTTACTGGTTTCCTCATTAATAAGTTGAATAAAATCTTTGTCATGTGTTTATTTGTATGAGAGAGACACATTAACTTTTTGAAAATTATATTTTATTAGTTCTGAAGGTCATCCACTGAGATGTTTGAGGGGATTAATCCAATGGAGACAAATTAAATCAATTTACCTGTACATCCTCGGTGGCAACAGAACTTTTTCTGACCTTCTAGTTCTTTTTTTCTTTTTCTACTGATGTTATGTATTTGTTTTCATTTCTGGCTTGTATACCTTCAATAAGTTAATCTGAATTGGTGGCAGCAATGACTGGGGATTTGCTCTTATGGTCTGACTATTTGGTGATCTCTGTTGGGTGTATAATGAAAGCCTATTCTCTGTTGGGCGAGAGATGACAGAGAATCCAATTTTGTTGTCTTTTTTTCTTTGTTGTTCTTTTTTTTTTTTTTTTTTTACCTGTTTGTCTATTTGCAAACTCAAATCAATTAAGAATTACATGCTCACTGGAAGAAAAATAACTAAGTTTTTGTGTTTCTGGTTCACTGTTTTCAGCAGTGTTTTATAGTTTTTGGTGTACAAATCTTGCACTTCGTCTGTTACATTTATTCATAAGCATTTTATTCTTTTAGATGCTATTGAAAATGGAACTGCTTTCCTAATTTCATTTTTAGATTATTCATGGCAATTGTATAGAAATAAAACTGACTTTTATATAGGTCCTCTATCCTGCAACGCTGCTGAACTTGTTTATTGGTTTTAATGTGTTTTGGATTCCTTAGGATTTTCTATAGGCAAGATCATGCCATCTGAAAATATACATGGTTTTACTTCCTTTCCAATCTGGATGCCTTTTATTTCTTTTTCTTCCCTAACTGTAAAGGCGAGGGCCTTTTGTGGCAAAAGTGGGCATCTTTGTCTTACTCTTGATCTTAGGTGAGAAGCGTTCAGTATTTCACCATTGAGTATGATGTTAGTTGTGGGTTTTTCACAGATGCCTTTTATCACGTTGAGGAAGTTCTCTTTTATTCCAAGTTTGCTGAAGTTTTTATCATGAAAGGCTGCTGAATTTTGTCAGATGGCATCTCTTTGTCAACTGAGATGATCATGTGATTTTTGCCCTTTATTCTATGAATGTAGTGAATTACACTGATTGATTTTCATACATTGAACCAGCCTGGGATTCCTGGGATAAATCCCATTTGGTCTTGAAATATAATCCTTTTTATATATTGATGGATTCTAGTTTGCTAGTGTCTTGTTGAGGATTTTTGCCTTTGATTTCATAAAGGATGTTGGCCTGCAGTTTTCTTTTCTTGTGATGCCTTTGTCTGGTATTGGTATCAGGGTACCAGTGGGTCCTCATACAAGGACCTGCCTTATAGGATGAGTTGAGACGTGTTCCCTCTTCTTCTCTGTTTTAGAAGAGTTTATGAAGTATTGGTATTCATTCTTTGTTAAGTGTTCGGTAGAATTCACTAGTGAAGCTGTCTGTGTCAGAGTTTTCCTTTGTTCTCACTCATGTTTATAAAACCAGTGGCTAGCAAAAGGTTGGATGGGTGTTGGACACCTGGAAATAAGTGTTGGTCAACATGCAATAAGAGAACTTTTTATTTCACTAGGACCTTGATGTGTTCACTGGAAAGGCCTTCTGAGCACCTGTACTGACCCATTCCATGGAGTCACAGAGTCAGGTTAACCTCTCTTCCATGTAGCGGGAAGGAAACTGCATCCCCAGGTCTGGGGCAGGGAGGATACACTCACCGTCATCCAGAATGACCAACAGTGGAGCCAGGAGGTCACACATACCCTGGACATAGCCGATATCAATGTGCTGCCAGATGTAGCTACAAGAGAGACACAAGATGCCCAGTGATGGCCCCCACAATATGCCTCTCCAACCCCCTCCTCCTTTACCTCCATCCTGGTTTGGTCCCCATCTCTCACCTGGACCACTCCCTCAACCTCCTGCCTGCAACCCCATCCCCAGTCTCACTCTCTTCAAACATCCTATGCTCAGTCACCAGGATGTCCTTCTTAAAGCTCAGCTCAAGGAGACCACTACATGCTCAAAAACCCCACTGCATGACAGGACAGTGTCCATACTCCTTAACTGGGGGTGCAAGGAGTTCATAGTTTCCTCCCAATCCCTCTTTACAGTCTCACACATCACTTCCCAGTGCTTCTTCCCCTCCAGCTGCAGAGGTATTTACCTTTGTACAAATAAAGCATACATTCATGCCGCTGTGCTTTTGTCCCAGCAGTTTCCTCTGCCTGGAATTTCCATCTGTCCCTTAATAATAATAACTAATATTTACTAAGCATTTACCGTATGCTCTGTCCACTATACATGTACTGTATCATTTAATTCTCAAAATAATCATATGAAAAAGTTACTATTATTATCCCATTTCACAGGTAGGGGTAATGAGGCACAGAGAACCAAGTGACATGCACCAGGTCATACACCTAACAATAAATGGTAGAGACAGGATTTGAACCCAGGTGGCCTCACTCCAGAGTATGTGCTCTTAACTTCAGTGCTAAATGATTTATTTCTTCAGTGTCTTCTCTTTTTGCCAAAATTCATCTTGAAGGTCACACCACCGTGAGGCCTTCCATGATTTCTCCTGGTGCCATAACTAGGTAAAAGTCAGTCTATCCTTCCTTCCCCCCCAGCACTATTTAGTTTTAAGGTAGCATGCTATATTAAAGTTAATTATGTTTGTATCTCATCAACTAAATTTTGAGTGGCAGTAATTGCTTGGGAGACCATAAGACAGAATAGTTAAGAGGTGGTATTTATTAATAAGAACGGTTTGAACAGGGTTTGGCAAACCTTTTCTGAGAGGTCCAGATAAGAAGTATTTTCAGCTGTGTAGGCCATATGTTCTCTTTCTCAACTACATAACTTTGCAGAAGCAATCACAGATAATACGCAACCAAATGGGCATAGATAAATTCTAAAAAAAAATTTATTTACAAAAGCAAGTGGTAGGCTGGATTTGGCCCATGGGCTGTGGTAGTAGCTTGCAAACCCCTGAGTTAAAGTAGCATGTAAAGAAGTCCAGGATGCACTGTTGAGTGTAAAAAGCAAGTTGTAGAAAAACAGTTTATAGTATAACCCAACGCAGATAAACATTTTTAAAAAATTAAAACGTGTGCATTCATATCATATTATGCTATATATTACATAGTATAACTATATATTATATAGTATAATTACATGCTATATATTTATATAGTTATATGGCATTATATTACATTAAATATTAATTACTATCTAAATAAATATCAATATATTAACATGTGTATATTCATATTATACTCTATATTTATATAATTATATACTACATATGAAGCATAATTATATGTTATATAGTATAACATTGTATATTATATAATATACTATCTATTATATATGTGTATATATAGATATCTCATATATATGGCTTGGGAGGATATTCACTAAACTGTTAGCAGTAGTTTCTTCTTCTAGGTGAGTGGCATTAATGACTGGATATAAAAGGAGAAGTTTCTCTTTATACTTTATGAACTTCTGATTTCTTTGGTTGATTCAGGTTTTTAATAAGCATGGGTTACTTTCATATATCAAGAAATAAAATATTTACTATTTAATGAAAAGTAACAAGTAGCCCCAAATCCTGGCTTAAAGAAATAAAGCAGAGATTCTAGAGTCCGAGAGAAATGGGTGAGTTCCCGTACAGCCACTGCCCACCTGGAGGGACCCTGAGCAATGTGGTACCCCTCTGAGCCTCTATTTCCTCACCTATAAAAGGGAATAACACTTACCTCATAGGCTTGTTCTGAGGACCAAGTGAAATGATGTTAGTAAAGGGCTCAGGACAGTGCCTGGTATACAGTAGGTGCTTAATAAATGTTCTCTATTATTATCATTACTATAATTGTTATATAATTGTCAGGATGGGCTGGAATGAGATTCAAGGTGGGCATGGTGCCAGCTGCAGAGAGTGCAATTCTAAATGGGCTCCCCGTAGCCCACACCTGTGCCATCCCCTCCCAGTCCCTGACTGATCCATCCCCCCCACCCACCCCGGCCACCTGCACATGATGTTCCGTAGCTTCTCCAGGTTGGCGGGTGTGAAGTACCAGTAGTTGCGGTCACACCTCTGCACGTCCTTCTCGATGCGGTGCAGGTTCACCGTGTACAGATCCAGCAGCTCTGGCTGTGGGCCCCCAGGAAGGGAGGAAAAGAACAATTACACCCCAACTCCTCACAGAGGCTGTCTTCCAGAGATTCTCTTTCCTCCTCCTAGCCCTCTCCTGTCATCACTGAAAAAAACTTCCTCTACCTGGACCAGTCAGATGTTCGACTTTATTTTTGTTGCTATTGTTTCCTGAGAAAGCCTCTTTCACTTTGTATGTTGAAAATTCTCTTTTTTTCCTTTATAAAACAACACAATCCTGGGACTTCCCTGGTGGGCCAGCGGTTAAGACTCCACACTCCCAATGCAGGGGGCCCGTGTTTGATCCCTGGTCAGGGAACTAGATCCCGCATGCTGCAACTAAGAGAGCCTGCAGGCTGCAACTAAAGATTCTGCACACCACAATGAAGATCCCGCAAACGGCAATGAAAATCCCGCATGCCGCAACTAAGACCCGGCGCAGCCAAATATATTAAAAAAAATAAACCAAAAAAAAATAAAACAACACAATCCTATGAGATGTATAGAATTACTACCCCCATTTTATAGATGAAAAAAGTAAGATTGATATATATGTGTATCTATATGCTACAATATATATGTAGCAAACTAATAAAAAGCAAACAAAGAAATGAAAATACTTCTAGGAAAAACAAAATTTTTTGCAGGAAAGAAAAAACATATACAGGTTACTACATGGATTATGCATTAAATTCGTATAATAATATAACCACCGAACAGTCATTTAACTAAAATTACTATAACCATAGTGAATGGATGGGGATTGGGACGGTTTCACTCGTGTGGTGGGTGGGGGCGGGGGGGGGGGAAGGAAGAAGACCGAATCCTCTTCCTCCTCAGTGGGGAGTCAATAGATATCAAAAACTGAAGAAAAACAAAAAAAGATCAGTAAGTAGCAATACAAGTGTATTATTTACAGACATGAGGGTAAACACCAGATAATTGGGGCAGAATAAGTAACTACTACTGCCTCTGGGGAGAGCCTAATGGGCAGAGGTGGGGCGCACAACTTCCAGTGTTTGGATCCAGCCTTGTCTGACTGTTTGACTCCTTGTGATAGAAATAAAAAGTCCTTTAAAAGAAAATGGATATACAACACCTGGCCCAGAAAAACCTCCCTTTCAGTTGATGTCCTTTGCTTTGGGCTTTTTGGCAAGAAAGTAAAATATTTAAAAGATTTTGGACCTGAGTGTAAATCAGGATGCTCACCATCAAGGTTTCTATTGATCGCTATGGGCTGAGCACAGAGGCCTTGACTCACTAATTCTGAAAACAACTCAGGGAGGAAGGTACGAGATAGATAGGGAAACTAAGGCTCAGAAAGATAAAGTGATGGACCTAAGCTGGGATCTGAACCCAGCACTGTTTGTCTGCAAAGCCTGTGTTCTTTAAGTATTATATTATCTTCTCTCCCAAATGGGTTTCTACAGTGAACCCTCCGTGAGGAAAAGGCAATGAACCAGAGGTCGTTCTGGATAACTGAGGTTTGTGGGACACTCCCACCCTCCTGAGGCTGCAGAAAATTGAGTGGAGGAGAATCCTGGTGACTTACAGAGTAGGTGACGCCACTAGAAGACACAGGGGATGCCTCGTTGTTGGCAGAAGTGGTCACGGCCAGAGAAGCGAGCACAGGGAAGAGACTTTCCATCTCGGGCTCCTCTGAGAGGTCGTCCTCACTGCCCACCTGGCTCTGCTTCCCCACCTCGATGCCCCTCCAGCCCTCCATCGCAGGGCCCTCCCTTTCGGGCAGAGCTACATCCATACTGCCAGTGATGGACACGAACTCGTCCATGCTCCCGTTGGCCAGGAGGTCGCTCTCCAGGCTGTCCTGCACAGCCAGCTCCTCACGGGGGACCTCATCCCGGGAAGTGGTGGCCTCGCTGCTCTGCCCGTCATCCACACCGCTGTCCCTGGGTCGAATCACCAGTGGGGCAGGGCGCTGGGCGTCCATGACGCTGTCCTCCGTGCTCAGGCTGGGTTCTGAGTGCTCCGAGAGGCCCGAGGAGAAGTTGTGGGAGGAAGGGTGGCCGGAGTCTGGGGAACAGGTGCCATTCACCAGGTTCCCATTGGGGATCTTGGGCTGCTTCTCCTCCAACCTGCATTCCGCCTCCACCTGCTCCACCTCGTCCACAGACTCGAAGACCTGCAGACCAGGTGCACAAAGACAGATGGACTAGGATGTCTATTGTGGTGCTACTTCCAGCAGCAGCCTGAATATCCATCCACAGGGGACTGGTTCAAATACGGAACATGCCTGCAGGGGAACACTATACAGTCAGTAAAAAGACTGAGGCAGAGCAAGGTGTAATATATGCTCCCATGTGTAGAAAATAAAAAATTGCTCCATATGCACACATAAGCGTAGAATAATCCAGAAAGAAACAAGGAAGCATTGCAGTTGACTCTGAGGAAGAATATCTTTTATCATACAAAATTATGTGCACATAATTGTTTAAAGTAAAAAAATTAGTTAACCACATAAGGAACAGGCTAAAAAGCATCCGTGTGGTGGACTATTATGGCTCAATTTTCAAAATTAGTTAGATGCATATGAAATATCATGGACAAGTCTCCAGGACACATATCTAAGATTTATTTGTGGTTCTTTGTGTCTGTAGGCCATATCCCGTCAAGGCAGACTGTATAAGATCATGTCCCAAGATCACTTGAAATATTTCTTCTGTGTGGTTATGTCACCAACTTGATTTACTGTTAATTTCATGTGCTTCTGGTTTTAAAAAGATTTCTTTTCGATTAAATTGCTTTTGGAGTTAACTTACCTAACTCCAAAGTCAAAACTAGAAAACAAAGTACATTCAGGGAAATGTAGCTTCTTTCCCTGTGCCCCTCACCCCACTTAAGTAACCATTTGACCAGTTTCTGGTTTATCCTTCCATCATTTTAGAAAATAGATGCAAATACATACATATATTAATATTTCCTCTGTTTATGCAAAAGGTGACATACTTTGCACATTTTTTCACTTTGTTTTTTTCTTTAATATTGAGTGAGAATGTGTTAACTTTTCTTTGCACTGAATGAAATGAAAGGCTGTTGAACAATACATCTGATGGTATTTATTTAGAAATTTTAAAAGATTACTAAACATCGCAATATATTACATACTGTCTATGTATTTCTGTGTATGTAAAGGCATACAGAAGGGTCTGGATGGATACACAGCAAATTGAAGATAGCAATGTTATTTCTAGGGAGGGCACGTGGGGATTAGGGATGGTCAAAGCCAAATTTAGTTTTCTCTGTAATATTTTAATTTTTTTAACAGGCAAAAGAGATTCATGTATTACTCGTGTAGGTAAAACTTCAATTTTTAATGCTAGCATAAAAAGCTAAAACAGATCAACCATGAGTGACCTGTATATGAGGGACCTCCAGTCCCGTTATTCCAGGTTGGAGGGAGGGGGATGGGTGGGGAGGGGCGGAGCCTCCGGGAGGTCACCTGTGTGCTGCTGCTGGAGTCGCTCTGCAGGCGGATGTTCTGGCGGCCCGAACTGCAGCTCTGGGAGGACTGAGAGAAAAAGGGGTAGGATGGAGTGAGGGTGAGGCTGCATCCGGGTTCAGGGTCCCCACATTGAGCTCAGGAGGGGCTGCTGGGCTGGAAGTCAGTAAGTGTGGTCTTATCTCTGCCCCTGACTCAGGCAAGTCCCTTCTCAGGGCCTCAGCTTCCTACCTATCAAATAAAAGTGGGGCGGCGGCTCACTCCCTACTCCCTGGAGCCTCCTCGGAGGCCACAGCAGCCACTGGACCTCCACCTCCCACCCACAACCAGAGAACCCCACCTTTAACTGCTCTGCACTTGAGACTTCCAACTAATATTTTAGTTCAACTCAAAGGACTGGTTGTATGCATGTCTATGTTCTACTCCTTCCCTGTATACGTGCTTTTTGCCCTATAACTTCTAGTTTCTGTCTATCCTGATGCTAAGCTTGGCCAAGTGACCTGCTTTGGCCAGTGGGGTGTTAGCAAACTCGACAGGGCAAACACAAAAAAAATGCTTGTGCCTTTCTGCTTTCTCTCTTTAAGATCTGCTTTCACTGCGAGAACATGGCCAGGCTAGTCTGCTGGAGGATGAGAAGTGAGGAGCAGGGCCGAGTCACCCCAGATATGTGAGAGGCCAATGAAGATCAACAAACCTTCTAGCTGAGCAGAACTGCCCGGCTGACCCACAGACTCATGAGTAAAAAACATATGTTTACTGTTGGACATCATTGGCTTTGGGGGGTTGTTTGTGACACAGTATTAGTGTGGCAATTGATGGATTTACCACTGGTGAAGGGAATTGACTTTCTTTTCATCCCCTGCTTTGGGATGCTAAACTGGAGATTCTATCAGGACAGATATGTCTGACCTGGTCACTGGAGCATTCTTGACATTCCTGACAGTACCTGGCACATAGTAGGTACTCAACAGCATTTGCTGAACAAATGAAAGTCTAACACTGTGCTGGGCACTTTATATATGCTAGCTTGTTTGAGTGGTACACAAATCTCCCCTATACAAATGATCATTCCCATTTCATAGATGAGGAAACTGAGGCCCAGAAGTAAAGGTGCTTGTCTGAGCCCCAGAGCTAAGAAATGAAGGGGCTGGAGTTTGAAGTCAGGTCTGTCTGACTCCAAAGTCACCTTCCACCTAAGAGCCAGGGGTGAGACTCTGTCCCAAGGCCCCAAACACCCAGCCCTCACCCTTCCTACAACAGCCTGATGGAGCAGAGCCCCGCCCCATGCTCCCTGAGGGGAGCCACCCGTCACCTCATTGCTGATGGTGGAGTCCCGGTGCATCATCCGGTGCAGGTGGCTGTCCAGGCTGGCCCCCGAAGAGCACTTGGCCAGGGCGGCCGCGTGGGATTCCCGCTCCCTCTGCCGCACAATCGCTTCACAGCCCAGCCACTCGGACATGGTCTGCGCATAGCAGGCATGCATCTGCTCGTCCACCTGCCAAGGAAGATGCACGGTCACCTGGAATGGTGGGATCCCAGGGGACAACCAACCCAACCCAGAAGATGGTGGCTCTGACCTGGGACCCTGAGCCCTAGAAACACCCATCCAACGTTCATGGAGTTAACATCCAACAGACGTTAACTGAACACTACGTGCCAGGCACTGGCTAGGCCCTGGGGATACACAAAAGTGAGCAAGCCAACTTCTTTCTTTCCATTTTTCCCTCCTTCCTTCCTATCTTCCTTCTTTTATTCATTCATTCATTCATACACTTATTCAAGTATTTGTTGACAACTTACTCTGTGCCAGGCAGTATACTAAGCCTTGGGGATACTAAAGTGAGCAGACTGTTCCTTTCCTTCTTTATTACCTTCTTTTCCTTTTTCCTACTTCATTCACTCATTCATTCATTCACTTGTTCATCTAAGTTGATAAGCACCTACTATGTGCTAGGCACCAACCTAGGCATACGAAACATAAGATGAGCAAGATGCCTCATTTGTCCATTCCTCCAGTCACTCAATGCACTTACCAGGGGCCTCCCAGGTGCCCAGCATGGGGGTAGGTGCTGAGAACACAAAGATGAATAAAAGTGACCCTTTCCTTTACTTACAGCAATGGCTTTAGAGAAGGGCCACAGGTTTCTAGTGTTTCCCTTGTGAGATTTCAGCAGAGAAGATCGGAGCTTACTTCATTTCTGTGTTGCACAGCCCAGGTAACTGAGGTTCTGAATCTGCCAGACCTCTGGGCACATGTGGGGCAGACAAGCTGACGAAAGGGTGTGAGGGGGCAGGAAGGAGAAGAGGGAGGGCAGGGAGCCTGCCCCATGCCAGGGTTAGGAGGGGCGGGCATCCTTTAGCTAGTCAGGACTTCCAGAGAGAGGACCTGGGTCCACCCTGCCCAAGCCTGTCATGGGCAGCTCCCTCCCACTGACCTCCCGAAGACTCATCTAAGCCCACTTCCCTGTTCCCACTGCCATCCTAGGCTAGGCTTCCAGGACCCCTCACACAGATGAGCTTCTTTCCTGGTACCTGCTTGTCCCAGCCTGGCCCCTCCTGTCCATCTCCCACTCTGCAGTCTTCCTCCTGTTTCCTCTCCAGCCCTGCTTCTCACTGCTGCCCCCACCCGCCTCGTCCTTTTCGTCCCAGCTACCCACATCCGCACGCCCTTCCGCCCCTCCCCACACAAATGCACACAGACACACACACATCGCATCATGCAGGCGTCTCTCTTCCTAGAAGCCCTTCCTCAGTCTCCTCGCCTGGAAAGCAACCTCTTCAAAGAATTCAGGTAGGCTTCTGCCCGGTGGAGGTGCCTCCTCTGTGCTCTTAAAGCCCCTGAGTTTGCCTCCATCTGATTTTGCATGAACCCCCCTAAACTGGCAAAGACCTCATCTAATGTACCTCTGGGTTCCCAGTCCCGAGCATGGGGCCTGCCACACCGGAATCCTCATGCTGGTCCTGAGATCATTTTCGACAGTTCGTGGCACAGCCTCAGCATACGGAACCACAGTGTGAGAAAGTCTCCATATTCAACTTTTCTGATTATGAGGAAGGCCAGTCTGGCACTACCGTGTCTTTAATCCATCCTTAATACCTTATAATCTCCCTTCTAAACAAAGAGAGAGAGGCCTCGGGCAGCCTGTGACATCTAGGTAGAACTGAATTATTTCATTTTGTCACATTCTATTTATTTTTGGAGTTTCCTTCTCTTTTGGCAAGTCATATTGGTTTTCCATTGATGGCAGGGATATAAAATGCCTTTTTAAATAAGTTATATAAATTTTTAAGTGAATCAATTCAGAGACAAATACTTAGTAAATCGTAGCACGGATGGTACACAGACATGGAGTGTAAAGTATGAGTGGGTTTTGAAAACTCAGTATGAATAAAAGAATGTAAAATATCTCACTAATAATTTTTATATTGAGTACATGCTGAAATGGTAATATATTGGATATACTGGGTTAAATAAAATGTTATTAATTAATTTCACCCTGATAAAATGACATAGAACCACACACACACACACACACACACACAGAGGAGCGGATGCAAAAACTAATGAAATCCTAGGTTGTACTGTACCAATGTTAATGTTCTGTTTTTTTGTTTTTGGGGGGTTTTTTGGCTGCGAGGCCTTTGGGATCTCGGTTCCCTGACCAGGGATCGAACCCAGGGCCCCGGCAGTGAGAGTGCCGAGTCCTTACCACTGGACCGCCAGGGAATTTCCTTAATATGCTGGTTTTGATAATACACTATATATAATAGTTCTATAAGATGTTTCCATTGGGGGAAGCGGCGTGATGGGTACCTAGGACCTCTGCATCACAACTTTTGCAACTTGGCATGAACTTAAAATTATGTTAAAACTAAAACTTTAAAAATATTAATTGTGTCTGTTTCTTTTTACTTTTTAAAATGTAACTACTAAAACATTTAAAATTCCATATGTGCTACAGTAATGAAGACAGTATGGTATTACCTGAAGATTACTAATTATAGTGTGGCATTAGATCAAAGGCACAGAATAGAGAATCCAGAAATAGATGCCACTCTATAAGCCCCACTGATTTTTTCTCCTTCACTTTTTTTAAAATTGAGGTATAGTTGATTCACAATATTACGTAAGTTTCAGGTGTACAACACAGTGATTCACAGTTTTTAAAGGTTATACTCCATTCATAGTTATTATAAAATATTGGCTGTATTCCCTGTGCTGTACAATATATCCTTGTAGCTTATTTATTTTATACATAGTAGTTTGTACCTCTTAATCCCCACCTCTATCTTGCCCCTCCCCTCTTCCCTCTTCCCACTGGTAACAACTAGTTTGTTCCCTATATCTGTGAGTCTCTTTCTTTTTTGTTCCATTCACTAGTTTGCTTTATTTTTTAGATTCCAAGTATAAGTGATATCATACAGTATTGGTCTTTCTCTGCCTGACATTTCACTAAGCATAATACCCTCCAAGTTCATCCATGTTGTTGCAAATGTACCCCAAATGATTTTTCACAAAGGTGCAGAAGCAGTTCAATGGAGGAAGGATAGCCTTTTCAACAAATGGTGCTGAAGCAACTGGACATCCAGAGGCAAAACCCAAACCAAACCAAACCAACAAACAAAAACTCTTGACTTAAATGACACACCATATCCAAAAATGAACTCAAAATGGATCATGGACATTTTAGGAAAAAATAGGAGAAAAACTCTTCAGGATTTGGGGCTGAGCAAAAAATTATTAGACTTGACACCAGAAGTACAATCCCTCAGAGGGAAAATTGATACACTGAACCTCCTCAAAAATCTAAAAATTTGTTCTGCAAAAGACCCTGTTAAGAAGACAAAAAGACAAGGTACAGACTGGGGGAATATATTTGCAAATGACATATATGACAAAGAATTAATATCTAGAGCATAAAAAGAACTCCCAAACTCAACCATAAAAAAATGAAACAATTCAACAAGAAAATGAACAGAAGCCATGATCTGACATTTCACTGAAGATTCACAGATGGCAAGTGAGCACGTGAAAAGATGTTCAGTATCACTAGTCAATTGGGAAACGCAAATTAAAACCACAATGAAATACCATGTACACATTCCTGTAAGTGGCTAACATAAAAACCAGTGATAACACTGGTGAGGATGCAGGTGTGGATTGCTCCTACAGTGCTAGCGGGAAGATAAAATGGTACAGCCACTGCAGAAGTTTGGTGGTTTCTTATAAAACAAAACAAAGTGTGAACTACCATCGGGTCCAGCAACTGCATTCGAGCATTTATTCCACCTTATGCTCACATGGAAACCTGTATATGAAGGTTCACTGCAGCTTTATTTGTAATCACCAAAAAACTGGAAACAACCTGCCTATCCATCAACAGGTGGAGTTAAACTGTGGTCCATCCATACTGTGGAACACTACTCAGCCGTATAAAGGAATCAAGAACTGATACGCACAGCAACTTAGATGAGCTGCTACAGATTTACACTGAGTGGAAAAAGTCAATCCCCAAAGGTTATACACTGTACGATTCCATTTCTACAACATTCTTGAAATGACAAAGTTATAGAAACAGAGAATAGATCAGTGGTTGTCAGGGGTTAGGGATGGGAGTGAGTGGGAGGGAGGGAGGTTTGGCTATAAAAGGACACGAGGACCCTAGTAGCACTGGAAATGTTCAGTATGTTGACTGTGGTAGTGATACACAAACCCACACGTGTGATAAAATTGTAGAGAACTAAATAGACACACACACGAGTACAAGTAAAATGGAAAGCCTGATTAAGATTGATATATATATATATATACACACACACATACATATGTATAAGGACGTATTATACAGCACAGGGAATATGGTCAATATTTTATAATAACTATAAATGGAGTATAATCTATAAAAATTTTGAATCACTATGTTGAACACCTGAAACTAATATAATATTGCAAATAAACTATCTCTCAATTAAAAATATATACATATTTATTGTAAACAACAAAAAAGAAATGCAATAAAATATGGACTTTAATGTAAAAATAAAGATTGATACATTGCCAGTATATCTATGTCAATGTCAATACCCTGGCTGTGATATTATAGTTTTGCAAGAAGTTACCACTGGGGGAAGTTGGATAAAGGATGAGATATCTCTGCATTATTTCTTACAAGTGCATGTGAATCTATCACTACCTCAAAATGAAAAAGTTATTCAAAAAAATGACATCTGTGGCGTTTGTTGTGTTTCTATTGGACTGCGCTGCCCCCAAGCTTCCTGACTCCCCAACATCTCCCTGCCCCACCTTGGTCCACCATGGGACCAGAGCTCCCCCAGCCCCACATTACCTGGGTCTTCTTGCTGCCAAAGACCCCACTGCCCATCAGGGGTAACCAACCTCCTTCCTTTCTGTTTCTGTCATCCCAAACTGGTAGTGGCCCAGGAGGAAGGGCCACACGGCTTTGCGGATCTCTGGCTGGATGCCCCCGTAGTAGATGAGACGCAGCAGCTCCCGCTCCTGGTAACTCTGTGGTAGGTGCGGGGAAACAAAGGATTTGCTCAACAGGAAACCAGGGGATGGACTCTGTGACCCAGCAGTCCCGCTTCTCAGACTTAGCCCTCAGTGATCATGCTGTGAACAAGCAAAGCCACATGGGCCCAGATATCCATCGCGGCATCATACAATAAAGCAAAACCCCAGGAACCCCCATAACTGCCCACCAATGGGGGAATGCTGCATCCCCACGTGGGAATACCACACGGAGAGTAACTGGGCAGCAGGCACATTTATGAGAACCTACATAAAAGGACGTTCAGTGTATATTGTTAAGTGTAAAAAATAAGATGCAGAATAGGTCGAGGGTGAACCCACTTTTGTAAAAAACAAAAACAAACCCCAAAGGTCAGAATATAATGAATTAACATTTCTACTTAATTTTTAGTCAATTTTGTGTACTGTGCTTATTGGGGAATATTATCTTGGAGTTATTAATCTTGACTCAGCACTAAGAAAATTGTTTTAAAGCGAATTAAACCAAAAAGGAACCATTTCCATCTGATTCTTCGTACACTAATAGCTTTTGTGCACACAAGAATGACTTTAGCAACTGTTTGTTGTACTGTGGAATAGATTTGTCCTCTTTCTTTTTAAAAATTCATTTCCAGGCAAAGGCTTTGCAGATACAATTTGTCAAGCAGTCACGCTGGAGGACCAGAGGGTCCTATCTGTGTGTGTGTGTGTGTGTGTGTGTGTGTGTAAAGTGCCAATGGTTGCCAGAAGGCTACCCTGAAGGGAACTAGGGTCCTGTTTCCTCCCACCTCTTTACTTCACATTATAAAATTAAAAGCATGTTTCATTTCTTAACACTAGTCTTAAATGTACCCAACCACAATGGCAAAACCAGCCATTTTGTTCCTGTTAGGAATTTTTACTCATATTGTATTGACAGCCTTGTCAATGCTGTATAAAAATTAGGGAGCTATTTGGGGCTGAGGCTGTGAACGCTTCATCAAAAATCTGTGTTCTCTTCTCCCGGAGTCCATAGCTGGACTCCATTCCCCAGCCTCCCTCGCAGGTAGGTGTGGCCATGTGACTGGGTTCTGGCCAAAAGGATGTAAGAGGAAGTGATGTAATCCATTTTCAAGCCAGGGCTTTGAAGAAGCGGGTGTACTCCCTTCACGCTTTCCATTTCCCCTCTGCTGGCTGGAAGCAGATGACCACAAGGCCCCAGAAGATGGTGGGGCCACAAGACTGAGAGATCCCTGACCCTCGAGAGGGAGGAGAGATGCCCACTCACCAGGAATGCCCACCCAGGACTGTTAAGTGAGCAATAAATACACCTCTATGGTGTCAAGCAACTAAAATAGTGGGGACTATGTGTTACTGCAGTGCAGTCCACCCTGACACAACGATGCAACCAAGCAGATTGTGAAAGGGTTGGAGGAGTGTTAGATGAAAAATATTCATTTTTGACTATTTATTGTTTCAGCCAATTTGTCCTTCGGATACTGCCTCCCAAACTGGAGAGATTGCGAGGAGCATTTGGGGAACTTTTCTTTTCTTTTTTTTTGGCCGCAACACGCAGCCCATGGGATCTTAGTTCCCTGACCAGGCATCGAACCCGGGCCTTTGGCAGTGAAAGCACGGAGTCCTAACCACTGGACTGCCAGGGAATTCCCTGGGGAAGGGGAACTTTCAAAATATAAATTCTTGGGCTCCACCCTTAGAGGTGCTCAATCAGTAAAGCTGGAGCCCCTGGAGTGGAGCCCAGAAGTCGATAAATCTTTCGAATTCCTCAGGAAATGTGCACTCACTCTCACAGACTGCCAGGGATTATGAACACTATAACCTTTCAAGAAAGGTAAGCTGGCATATCTATTTAAATTTAAAATGGACATCAAACAGTTACATTTCTAGGACTACCCTCAAAATAAGAGAACTAGTACAGAAAGGTATATGCTTATAAAGATGTTAACTGCAGCACTGTTTGAAATAATTAAAAAAAAAGAAAAAGGAACAGCCCAGAAGTCCATCATTAGAGGAAGATTTGACTAAATTATGGTCCACCCACATATAAGGTGCTAAGGTTCTAACGTGTAATAGTTTACTTAGAGATCTGAAAGATGCCTTTGATATAAAAGTAAGTTGGTCACTTAAAATATGTTACCTCATTAAAAAAATGAGTTTCAGTTTTATCTATATAGACGTATCTGTGGATGTATAAGTACGGGAAATGTATAACAGGGTCTACACCAAACTGATACTATTCATTAATTCAGGGGATCAGAACTAGCGGGGGTGCAGCAGAGAGATCATATTTAAAAACTTAAAAAAAATTCTGTATGCCTGTGTTCTGCATTCTTTGAATTGTTACAGTAAGAAGGCATTCCTCCTGTAACTTAGAAAAACAACTATTTCTGGCAAAAAAAGAAAAGCACCCTTCTGCTTGTCCAGGTTTGGGAATCAGCTTGTTTTTCCCACTGAGTCTCCTGGCATCCCCAGATTAATACACAGAATAGCACCTTCCCCCAACGTGGGGAAGCCAGGCTGAGCCAGGTGCTCACCAGCTTGGCCCTCCCCAGGGAGGAGGGACGCAGCTGACGGAGCCACCGCATTTACCCAGCGTGGAGGAAATGGGTATCTCCTCTGAGAGCCTGCACTTGGCAGCAAACCAGTATTTCTTAGAGTGGATTCTGCCTTCCACCATATGTGGTACTTTTCCAACGAAGGTCCCTGTGGCCACATACATTGGAAGGAACGTTCCATATGCTCTCCCACACTCCCCCAATTTCCTGAGCGTGACAAGCATATCAGCATAGCCAAGGCTCTGACAAGTCCTGCAGGATACAGAAAGCTGTTTAAGCTTGTTTCCCAAATTATTTCTCCATGAAACTCTTTTCACACGTAAACATTTCCCTTCCAGGAATATTTGTACTCTAATAAGAAAATCTTAGAAATCTATCTCCAGGTGAAATAGCTAATGGTAGAATTCTCGAGCCCTAAGACAAAGATGAGAGAAAAGGGTTTCATGTAGTGGTGGGGTTTCCTTGGTCCAGATGCCTCCCTCTAACTGAGCTACTCTCATCGTTCTAAGTAGCCAACTGGACTGTAAATTCTTCTGGCCGCTAAGTCACAGCACATCATACAGGACCAAGCATCAGCTGATGCTTAATAAATGCTTACTGGCTGACTCATTCTTTACTCCTTCCAGGCAAACATATGTATTTTCCACCCTCCCTGATCCTCATCCCAATGGGCAGAAGCAGGCTGTGGGTGTTGGAACTCTCGAGGAGGGGACCTTCAATTTGTGTATGGAGAACCCAAGGATGTCACAACACCTGAGTCCCCACGCAGGTGGGTCTATTCCTCAGATGATAAGAAGTCCCCCCATAGTCTCTGTCCCCGCAAAGTCTCTGCCCCACGGCAGGCCGAGCCAGGCCAAGCCTTACTGTGCTGTCCTGCAGGTATTGCTCCCAGATCTCGGCCGTCAGCCCGTGTCCAGCATCGCAGGGCAAGTCCGGAGACACGATCATGTGATTGACCAGGGCTGACAGGTGGGTCCTCACAGTGGACAGGTGTCTGCAGTAGGCAAGCCCTACCGGGGAGGAAGGAAAAGTGTCATTGTCCACCATCCAACACCCCCTGCCTTGTCTCACGGAGTCTCCAAAGTACTGTCCTACCCACAATCTGATTGAACCCTCGTGACCAGCAAACTGTCATCATCCTCCTTTTCCAGATAAGGAAGGTGAGGCTCGGAGAGGCAAAGTCACTTGCTGGCCTAATTGCTTAACAGCCCTGTGACCCTGGGGAAGTCATGTCACCTTTCTCAGCCCCAGCACCTCCTCTCCTGGAAACCAGGCATTTAATTCACAGGCTGGAGGCAGGAAGAGGCCAGTGACTCCACGGGCTTGCTGTGCCCTGGGGTGCCTCCAATCCATACCAAGAGAAAGAGAATGGGAGAGAGGGGATGACTCGTTCAAACTGCAGCGGGATAAAGAAGACCCTGGCCAATCAGTAGCTGGGGAGATGCTGAGGGCACTGGTTTGCTTTCAAAGATGGCCCTGGCCCTTCGAGCAATTCCCACCAACTTGCCCCCCTTCATTTGCTCCACCCTGGGTGCCGGGTCCACAGGAAGCACTCAGCCGGTGCTGGCCTATGTGCGCTTTGACCATGCCCGTTCCTTCTGGCTACTGACCCCCAACTCATCCTCGAGTCCCAGAGAGGACCCTGGACCATCTGGAGCCTGAGGACTCACCCCTACCAACAACAGGGGTAATCATGATGATTACGATGAGGATGATATGATAGCTAACATTTATATAGCACACTCTGTTCCAGGGAGCTGTTTCCAGAGCTTACGCAACTTAGTTGATTCTCACTACAACCCTGTGAAGCAGGCACTCTTACTGCGCCCATCTTATAGGTGGGGAAACTGAGGCACAGTCTGCGTGCGTCACTTGCCCAGGTCACGTTGCTAGGTGTTGAGCTGGGATTTGAATGCAGACTGTCTGGCTCCAGAACCTGGGCTCTCAACCATCATCAGGGAGGAGCCACACCATGTGATGACATCAAGACCCATCTCAACCCCCAACCCTTCTACCAGGAGGCTCTTCCATTGTGGTTCCATAAATACTCACCCAATGCCTTCTTCACACCAGACCCTGTGTTAGGCACTAGTGATGGGTAGTAACAGAACAGGCAAAAACCTTGATCTTGGGGAGCTCATGCTTTCCCTGTTTCTCCAGGCCGATACGACCTGCACTGTTTTTTCGCAGGCCCCAGCAGGATATACTAACACTTTCCTAGAATCCCTGAAAATACACACATTGTATCTTCCCCATCTAGGCTGTGAGACAGAGGAAATAAAACCTGCTAAGAATCAAAATAGCAGAGTGGAAAAAACAGAGGCTTTGCCACCAGGCAGGCCTGGGTTTGAGTCCCAGCTCTGTCGCTTATTAGCCGTGTAACCTTGGGCAAGTCACTTTGCCTCTCTGTGCCTCAGTTTCCTCATCTGTTAATTGGAAATAATCAGAGCACCTGTATTATGAATTTAGTTTTTAAGTTTTGGGGAAGGGATCAGGCCATCTTACTCTTCTGCTCCTGCCTATAGGAGAAGGGGACTGACACTTACTGAGCACCGACTGCATGCAATGCCAGGTGCTAGGGGCTTTATACACGCTTTCCATTCAATCCTGAAAACAAACCCTCTAAGGTGGGCACTGGAGATGCAATGGTGATTAAACCAAACCCCTTCCAGCAAGTGTTCACTGCCTCCCCTTAGGACCAAGGGAGACATTTTATGCCCAATCTGTAAATGAGGAAATTGAGGCTAAGAAAGGTTAATGTAACTTCACCAAAACTAGACACCTAGGAACTAGGAGTCAGGCTCCTTCCCCTGATATTGATGGCATGCAGTAGGCACTGAATAAATGCTCCCTGGAGACCACAATGGCAAATAAGGCCAATACGCACATCCATAGAAAGCTCTGGAAAGAATCTGGTACTTCATATTGTCACAGAGAAGCTTCAAGGGAGCCCTGTAGGAAGGAAGGAAGGGAAAGAAAGACACTTAGTACAGATCCACACATAGCCCAGGTTTGCTGGAGAGGAGCATAACTCGTTATCTCTAGGGAGCAGATTACAACCAGCCAGTCAAGTAGACTGGGGGTGTTACTGTTTCTATCTACACAGCATCACTGCCCCTTCCTCTGCTATCAGCTTGGGAGTTACCTCCTCCCCAACTCTGTCCCTAAGGTTTGGGTAGAGCTGATTCTACCCAGTACATGACTCAGCTTGGAGTCACAGTTATTGGGTCGGGGGTGGGGGGCAGTGTCACATGATCCAACCTGGGCCAATGAAAATCAGCCCTGGAACTTTTGTTGGAACTACTAGAAAACAGACACTCTTTTCTCTGCTTGAGTTCCTAAGCCAGTGGGATGTAGGGCAGCAGCTGCTGGGATCCGTTTTTACTACTGCACAGGAAGGGCCAGCTTGAGAATGAAACCATCATAGACACAAGCAGAGCCAAGAGCCAAAGAAACAGACATCCCTCTGTGGAGCATCTCGATCCAGCCATGCCTGAAGCCACCATACCTCTGGATGTCTCAGTTCTATCAAGAGATTTTCATTTGCACCAGTTTGAAGTGGGTTTCTTTCAGCAGCAGAAAGTGTTTTGACATCTTTTTATTTTTTGATTGGAGTATGGTTGCTTTTCAATGTTGTGTTAGCCTCCACTGCACAACAAAATGAATCAGCCATACATACACAGCCACATGTCCGACTTCTAAAGTGACCCCGCTGAACCAAAGTGGAGCGAGACTGCGATTCGGACTCTGGCTGACTGCAAAGGCGGTAATGCCTCAGAGCTTCTCCTTGCATGGGAATTTGCGGGGGTGGGGGTGGGGGAACTGTTTTGGCTGAAAGAAGGCCTCAGAATTGATGGAGAAAACAGGACTGCTGAAGGTAGCGTTGTGCATTCTTGGAGAAAACAGAGTGGAGGAATATTACACCCGTTAAAAACCCAGCGAGACTGGGAAGGAGGCATGGCTGAAGTCCTCCAGTTATGCACGTGGAGGCATTAAACATTAAAGTCACCCTCTTTGTGCCCTCAGGCTGGTGAGGCTTGGCTTCCTCGGGTTACATAAGGACAGCACCACACTGACAGCTGCCCCACAGTGGCCTTGGCCGTCTGCAAGGTGGTGAGTTCCCTATCATTACAGACGTGGAAGCAGATACTATGAGAGGTACTAGGTTAGAGCAGCATTTGTCAATTGTCCATATGCACCATCATCACAGAATCACTTGGGGTTTCTCCAGCATGTGGATTCCTAGGTCCTGCACAGACCTACTCAGTCACGATCTCCAGTAAGTGGTCCAGGAAGCAGTACGTGATGCCCAAAGTGATTCTGATGCCTATGAAAATGTGAGAATCTCTGGTCATTTCAGTGCTTATCGAGCTTAAAAGTACACACGCGATCTTGGGACCTTGTTAAATGCAGAATCAGCTTCAGTAGGTCTGGCGTGAAGGACAGAGAATCTGCTCGGGTGATGGTACTGCTGGCGCGGAGACCACACCCTGAAGGCCAGGAAGTAAGTATATGGCTTTATCTGATGCTGGCCCCCATTTACACGCCCATGACTGAAGACTGGACCGCCCACTGGGACAGAGGCCCAGCAAGGAAAAAAGAATTCCATTCTCCCAGGCCAGGCCAGGCGGGGTCAATGGGAAACATGACCAGTCTCAGGAATGGGCTGCGTAGTTCCAAGGAGACAAAGCCCTGTGGGCAAGGAGAGAGGTGATCTGGGGATTTAACTTTATGCAATAAATTAAAAAGCGTCATTTATTGAACATCACCATGTGCCAGGTACACGTGCTGGCCACTTCAAACCAGTATGTGATTTGTCCTTACAACAGCTACATGACGTAAGCATTAGTATCCCCACTTGTTGGAAGAGCAAACTGAGGCATGTTTGGTTGTCATTAAGTAATATTTCCAGCTTCTGCCTTCCAGGAGTGTGGTAGGACACACTTCCTGGTCCCTTGTTGGTGGGGCCAATGAGGTGTGAGTGAAAATGTAAGTGCTGCACTCGGGCTGGAGCATTTAACCACTGGTTAAACCCCATCCAGAGCTCCATTTCCCTCAGTCACCGTGATTCGCAATGTTCAAGATGGTGGTGGCTCCATCTGCCGGGCCCTTTAATGTGGAGAAACCAGAGCCCCCAGCTGACCCAGGATAGACACACAGCATGAATATGCACGATGGACAATCCTTTATTGTAATAAGCCACTGAGATTTCAGGATTGTTTGTTACAGCGTCATAATCTTGTTTATGCTGACCGATATATGTAAGGAAGCTCCAACAGCTAGACTTCACATGGCTAGGATTTAACCCAGACATGGACGATTCTATAGCCTATGTTCACTCCTCTGAATACAAGGCAAGGCAAGAAATGGGCATCTGCAAATCTCTGGTAAATCCTTCCGTTCCCTCCAACCACAGTCCGAGCCCCTCATACCTCTCATGGTTGCAGCCATTGGTTGAGCCACCATCAGCCGAGCCACTCTGTGAACAGGAAGATTTCCGTGGGCTGGGTTGCCATAGGGATGGCAGGTGGCTCACGGAGACATCCATCAGGTCCTGGGGGACTGTGGTGGGTAGCAGGGGCAGAGGAAGAGCCATGGTTAAAAGCCTATGTGGGTCACAGAAACCTCACCCCAAAGCAAGCAGCTCACCCCTAGACCAGCACAGGGATAGGGAAAGACTCTGAATGTCACAGCAGGAGACAGCGACCCCAAACCAGGTCCTTGAGCCCATCCGAGCCAATGAAAGCCACCACCAAGATTTCGGGCCCCCAGCAGATGGGCAGAGCCGATGAAAGCTGAAGAGACAGAAGGAGAACAGACAGAAAGAGATCAGAGCCAAGGAAACAGGCCCAATCCCCGAGCAGGAGGCCAAGCCTCACCATGTTGTCATTCAGTTGTCCTCATAGGAGGCTGGCAGGAAGGAAGGGGAGCCTGCTGGGGACGTCTGGGGAAGGCTGATGGCCTCGAGTCCCCAGAGGTAGGTCTCATGGGGAGCTCCTGGTGGTGAGATGTAAGGAAGCCTGACTCAACAGGTGAGGCAGGCCACCCAACAGCAAGGGGACCCAGTGGAGTCCCCACTGATGAGGGTGCCTGCACTGTCCATGGTCCTGGGCCTGTAGCTGCTCTACCAAGAGAGCCTCAAATAGGTTGGCAACCCCCCAGAATCATGTTGAGGTGGCATGTGGAAAAGCCATATGCCTGTATCCCACCCCTGACCTACTGAAGTAAAGTAGGTCCTACTATATGCAGGCTGTATCCTGGAGATACAGCCCTTGAGTCCGTGCTTCAAAAACAGTTTTGAGGTAGCAGCCACATTTGAGAACCAAGAGGGCACAAATGATCTCCTAACTCTTGGACACTGGTGGTTCCTGATCAATTGCTCCCAAGGATATAGCACTTATAGTTTCCCTTACTGTCTTCTTTCCCAGGTCCATGGAAACCTCAGCATCTGCAATGCTGCAGAACAAACACACCGGTGACCCAGGCATTAGAATTTCTACAGTTAATTTCCTGGCCTCTTGGTGCAAAAAAGTTGTTTTCTCTAGGACAGGGCTTGGTAAATATTTTCTGTAAAGGGCCAGGTAGAAAATATATTAGGGTTTGCAAGCCACTATCATAACCACTTGACTCTGCTGCTGTAATGCAAAAGCAGCCAAAAACAAAAGGCAAACAAATGAGCACGGGTATGTTCTAATAAAACTTCCTTTGTGGACACTATAATGTGAATTTCATATCATTTTCACATGTCACAAAATATTATTCTTCTTTTGATTTTTTTTCGATTTTAAAAAAATGTAAACACCATTCTTAGTTCATGAGCTATACAGAATGAGACTGGATTTGGCTCGTGGGCCATAGTCTGCCAAACCCTGCTTTAGGAAATTAAGAGGGGTACTCATTTGCCCCATGAGCCATGCCTCCTCAAGGATGACTGGTAATACCTGGCCTCTTCCCTTGGGCTCTAAGGAGAGGGGGAGCTGTGGATCTGGCCCCCTAGTCGCCACAGATCCGTAGCTGACAGCGTCTGCCCCCACCCACTGACAGAATAGAAAGCTGCCTACAGAATGAGGTTCTTGAGGCCACCAAAAGTGGCTTGTTGCCCTACTCCTCCCCATAGACTCACCAATGAGCTGGACAAGAAAGACCAGTAGGCCCCTGTAAAATGTTCTAGAAAAAGTCCCAGTTCTCAGCCAATCTCAGGGAAGCACTGATCAGTTTCACGCAGATGTGGCAAGCATGCCTCCACCCCCAGCCTCTCACACCCTGCAGACATCATCAATGGATCCCTCTGCTACAGAACCCGCAACACTCCAAGCTGCGTCCTGCAGCACGGAGGTAGGACAGTGTGAGGGCATCAATATTTCTCCTGCCTCCACCTCCCCCGGGACCAAGACTCAAATGACAACATGGCAGAGGTGGCTGGCACCCAGTCCCAGGGGTGGGGAGAGCCCAGACATTACTGGGGGGCTGCGGCTTCTGGCTTGATGTGGGGAGGGTGGTGTCCCATTTGGTCTGCGCCCACCGACTGCCCCTGGCCACCACTAACGCGGACCGTCCCGCAGGAACCACCATCCAGGCAGGGCCCACGGAGACAGGGGAAGTGCCACCCACAGCACTGGAAGCAACTTAAGAGGCAAAATAAAAAGCCCTGGTGAAATGGAAGGTCTGCGGTGACAGGAACAGGCGAGAAGAACCAATTCCCTGGGGCTTGAAACCTTCCCCTGTCCTGTTCCACTTAGTTCCCATGGATTGTGTTTGATCAGAGGAAGAAAGAATGCTGTTACCTATAAAGTGCCTACTCTGTGCTCGGTGCACATCCCCTACTATATGCAGGGGATTGCCTTATCCCTAACGACCCTGTAAGGGATGCATTTTTTTTTTCCTATTTTGCAGAAGAGAAAAGTGAGGCTCAGAATGGTAACAACTTACTCAAAGCCTCACCTTTTTGACTAAAGTCCCCCCTTCTCTTCCCACTAAGAAGAGCTGTCACTTCCCGAGCTCAAGTCCTATCATTATCCCCTTTTACAGATTAGAAGACTGAGGCACAGAGAGTTCAAGCAGCATGCCCAAGACTACTCAGCTAATAAGTGGTGGAGCCGGGATTCCAACCTAGAGGATCAGACCCCGAGATCCTATTCATACTCTCTCAGCTGTTTTCCTACTGGCTGTTGTCTCCCCAAACCATCCTTGCCCTAGACCAGCGGTTCTCAACTGGGGTGATGTTGGCCTCCCAAGGGACACTTGGTGATGTCTGGAGACATTCTGTCCGTGACTTGGGAGTTAGCTAGATGTTACTAGCATCTAGTGGGTACGGATGCTGCTCAACATCCTATATAATATATAAGACTCTTCCCTCCTCCACCCACAAACAGTTATTCAGCCCAAAATGTCAACAGTGCCAAGGCTGAGAAACCCTGCACTGGGCAGGTGCTGTCCAATACAAATCCATCGTGAGGTACAAGCATAATTTAAAATTTCCTAGTAGCCACACTAAAAGGGTAAGAAGAAACAGATGAAATCAATCAGCAATATGTGCTGTTTAACCCCATAAACTCCAAATGTTATCTTTTTTTTTTTTTTGGCTGCATGGCGTGGCACGTGGGATCTTAGTTCCCCGACCATTGTTGACCAGGGATCGAACTCGCACCCCCTGCAGTGGAAGTGCAGAGTCTTAACCACTGGACCGCCAGGGAAGTCCCACCAAATGTTATCATTTTCACACAGAATCAATATAAAATAATTAATGAGATATTTTACATTCTTTTTCTTGGTACAAAATCTTCAAAATCCAGTGTGCATCGTACACTTACAATTTGGACTAGCCCCATTTCAAGTGCTCAGGACCATATGCGGCTCACACCTCCCATACCAGACAGTACAGAGACTGTCTTGGCGACAGAGGGGTCTGGAAATGCCCTTCTCTGACTGTGAACCCACCTAAATGCTTGAGAACTTGTCTTTGCCTCCTCTGTGCACAAGAAGCAGGCACAGAACCAGGTGGTGGAGACAGGGGTGAGAAGACACGGAAAGGGAGTTTAGAACCATCTGTGGCCACATCTTTCCTCCCACAGGGGAAAACTCTTCTCTTATCATTTAAGGCAGGCATCTGTATACTTTTTCTGCAAAAGGCCAGCCAGTAAATATTTTTGGCTTTGTGGGCCATGTGGTCTCTGCCCCAACTAGTCAACTCTGCGGCTGTGGCTTTTCAAGCAGCCACAGACCATATGTAAATGGATGGGTGTGGCCGTGTTCCAATAAAACTTTATTTACAAAAACAAGCAGTGGGCTGAATTTGGCCCACAAGAAGGGGTTTGCTGATTTCAGATTTAGGCACTTCCTCAGAAAGAACTTTACAGACCTTACAGATGAAAATCATAACATGACTGTTTTGTAAACTCTGTGACGCTCAGGGTCCTGAGAAAATCAACCAAGCATGGGGGTCACCATTTCCATGTGGGCTGAACCTGACCTTGAGGATGAAGGGAGTGAAACCACAATGCCCTCCCCTACCCTCCCATCAAAACAATCTGCATGGAGTGGATGTAAGAAGCACAAGCTCTGGAGCCAGACCATGTGGGTTCAAATGCCAGCCATGCCAAGGATTAGCTGGGCAATCCTGGACCAGTTTTTTAACCTTTCTGTGCCTCAGTTTCCTCCTTTGAACAAGGGGGGATGGTGATGACAGTGGTACCTGCCTTGGAGGGCTGTGGTGAGGATTAAGTGAATTAAGACATGGAGAGAGCACAGAAGTGGGCTCAGCACACAGTGTCACTTAGTACATGAGACCCACCGTTGCTCACAGGGCATCTGCCATATTAGGTGTGTGATGTATCATTGAGCTGACTTCTAAGAATATGATCCCGGGTGGGGACTGCTGTTATCCCAGTTCTACAGATGAGGAAATGAGGCCTGGAGAGGGCCAGTCACTTGGCCACACTGCAGTGGCAGACTTGAAAGTAGTAATGTGTTCTTTTCTCTAAACCAGCAGTTCTCATCCAGGGGCAATTTGGCCCCCAGAGGACACTTAGCAGTGTCTGGAGACATTTCTGGTTGTCACAACGTGGTGCTGGCGGTGGGGGCAGATTTACTACTTGGCACCTAGTGAGTGGAGACCTGGCATGCTGCTCAACACCCTACAGTGCACAGGACAGCCCCCAACCACAAAGAATTACTCCAGCCGAAATGTCAGTGGTGCTAAGATTGAGAAGCCCTGTTCTAAATACACTGTCTTGGTTGGGGTTTCCTTGAAGGCAGACAAGGATTCAAGTGCAAGTTGGGAGATGTTCCCAAGAAGCACAGGTAGGGGACAAGTGAAAGGACACAGGAGGGGAAGGGCGAAGAGCGTAACAAGCTGGTCACTGCATCAGTTACCATCATGGGCACCTGGCGCTTGATCTCGTGGGGGACCTCCAGGACATGTGCAGAACACACATTTCAGAGTGTTCTCACCTGAGGGGTGAGGAAGCTGGGGCATTTATACACCAGCTCCTACCGGACACTGGCTGAGGACTGCTCCAGGGAGGCACTGATTGTAATCCACCCCACCCACCCACCAGGGCAGAAGGAACCCTGGTGGCTGGAGACACTAAGGCTGGCAGCTGGCAGTGGAGCTGCCTGCACAGAGGGTGTGGGTGGGTGCAGCTAGCATCTGTTGCCCTGGCACGTGCAGGGCCACAACAGGCTAACGTGGATATTCCCCAAATAAGTAAGACGTTCAGCACCCAGCCTGGCTCCCAGCAAGAGCCTACAAATTGTTTGTTGGATGAGGCCCTGTGGAGAGAGCTGCCTGGGAAGGCAGCCACAGGGCACTGGCCTCTCTGATAAATCAGCTCTCTGTGGGGGGCGGAGGGGGGTGGGGGCGTGCGCCATGTGAGCCATAGTACCGCAGAGAGGCTAGGATGGCTTCAGCCCCTGATCCTGGGCAGGAACGGATATGGCAATACACGTCAGGACGCTCCATGGCTCTTAAAGACACAGGAACATGAGGCTTTGCTCCTAACTGAATACACGTGAAAACACAGGCTAACCCAAGCAACATAAGACCTTACCACCCAGCCTGCCCACGTCCCAGCTCCGACAGCAGTGGACGTGAACTGGAGCGTTAAGCAGCCTGGCACGATTAGTCCAGCCTAGCCAGGGAGGGTGTCTGCTTTCAAAAGAGCCTCTCACTGCCCAGCGTGGTCACTTAAGCAAAGGGAATCTCAGAGCCATTATCCATCAAATGGGAACAGGGCTGCAGAGGGTTAAATATTTAAAATAAGGTTTATAGAAAGAGCCTATAACTTATTATTGATTTGTTTAACAGACATCCACACAGTGCTTAACAAATGTCAGGCCTCCTTCTGAGAACTTTTCAAATATTAATTCATTTCATCGTCACCACAGCCCTCTGGTAATGAAGATCTTCATAGCAACAGTTCCCATTCACTAAGCATCTACTTCATGGCAGTCACCACGCAAACTGTAGGACACATGTTTTAACCTTGTGTGCCGGCGCCCAGGGCTTCCCTTCCCCTCTGCTGGCTTTTATTTATTTATTTGTTTGTTTATTTATTTATGGCCGCGCTGCGCGGCTTGCTTGATCTTAGTTCCCCGACTAGGGATTGAACCTGCGCCCTCAGCAGTGAAAACGCAGAGTCCTAACCACTGGACCACCAGGAAATTCCCCCCCTCTGCTGTCTTGACAACCATTTATTGAGGGCCTAGTGTATGCGAGGCCTCATTCTATGGGCATTACATTGACCAGCTTATTATCTCATTGAATCCTTACAACAATACATTGAAGTAAAATAATAATAACAACATAATAGCATGTGAATGTTCTTTCTGTGCCAAGTGCTTTATCTCATTTGATCCTCGCAAGAGTCCCATGAAATAGGTGCTATGAATAGGTCCCCATTTTACAGATGAGGAAACCAAGGCACAGAGGGGTGAAGTGACTTGCCCAAGTGCAACCAGGATTCCAGAGCCCATATCACTGCTGCTACCCCATGCCACCTTGTGCCCATGGACATCTTTATTAGCTAAGTAGAGAGTGCTTATTTGTTTTCATTTGGGGAAAATCAAGGCTGCCAAGACCCCAACTTCCTGATTCCAGGTCCCCCTGCTGGCCCCAGAATCCACATCTCTTGTCCTCTAGTTCCACACGGCTGAAGTCAACTTCAGGACCAGCTAACAGGTGGATCCCTGGGCCCAGGGCCAGGGCAGCTTACCGAATTCGGACTGCATGCCAGGGTAGATGATCCTGAACACGTAATCCGTGGCCTCCTCATCTTCCTTGTCTGAAGACGTGGACTCGGACGAACCCTGAGGGCTTCGCTTGCGCAGTTTGGGAAATACTTTGCCCTGAAAGAACAAATCCCAGTGCGTGGTCCCTGGGACTCACCTGTCTCCACAACCTGCACAGCCCGAGGGTCTCTGCGGGGCATGCAAGAGCCTATGCAGCCACATAAGGGCCCATGGGCAAGAACAGCCAGCCACTCCCCATGGCTTACCCCTACCCCAGCCTCCCTGGGGCTCCCACGATCACTCACCTTCCCCCGCTGAGACCAGAGTGGCGGGTCCAGCTGCCCGTGAGGGAGGAGCCCATTCTCCAGGCACGAGAGGAACTGCAGGAGGTGACCTCCCTTGGGGAAGCGGAAGGGCGGCCTCTGGATCCCGTCCTGGCTGACCAACACCACTGTCCCACCGCTGTCCACTGCCACCGCGACCCGGCCAGAGGAGACCCAGCAGGAAGTCACTATGAGACATGGTGATGGGCCCCCGCCCAGGCATGCCCAGCCAGACCCAGCGGTCCTGCTCTAAGGCTCTGGGAAAGGTCTGGGCAGAAGCTCAGGGGCAGCTGTCACCTCCTCTGAGTCCCCCTCATCCCACCCACCAAGGTCATCAACTGGGGAACTACAGGACGAGGTCAAGAAGAAGGTGCTTGGCCTCCCTGCATTCACCCACCAAAGGAAAAAGGTATCCCCAAACACCCTATGCCCCTCAAACACACTCTACAAATTGACCTGACCTATTTTTGTATGGAGGCTTTCAGACAGACCCATTTTTAGGGCAGTAATTGACTCGTTTTTTTTTAAATTTATTTATTTATTCATTTATTTTAGTAATTGACTCTTGCTAGCATGTATTAAGCATTTACTATATACATGCATAGCACGTTAAAGGCACTGTCTTATTGTAATATTCAAAAGAGCACTACGAGGCATATCTATTACTGCCTATTTTGCATATGATAAAACTGAGGCTCAGAGAGGTTATGTAACTTGCCCAAGGTCACACAGCTGGTGAGTGGCAGGACCTGGATCTGAACCCACGTCTGTCTCATTAAATAATTTAAATCACTGTGTTTTGTGTCTTGGTGATGTACAGATTCCTTTCTTAATAAAGCAAGATGGCCCTCTGCTTGTTCAGAATATAGCTTCCTTGAGCTATAAAGGAGAACGCTAGCTATAAATCTTTGATTTTCAGAACACTGACTTTGGAGGGACAAAGGCCTGGGTTTGAGACCAGACTGGGGAGCTTAGGAAGTATATCAATGTGCCACGCTGCTTCCTCCCCTCTAAAATGGGAACGATGGAGCCCCTACCACTGGGTTGTTGCAACGATTAGATAACAAGTATGTGAATAGTGAGAACTGTGCCTGATACATGGGTTTAATGCTGAGCCCTTAACAAATGCCATTTGATCCTCACAGCAACCCCATGAATAGACACTGTTATGATTTCCATTTTACAGATGGGGAAACTGAGGCTCAGAGAGGTGAAGTCACTTGTCTGAGGTTGCACAGGTAATAAGTGGGTGGGGCAGGCAGGGGGTCCAGGAGGAACACACCCCAGCCCCATGCTCACCCTCAGTCCCTACCTTGCTGGTGGCAATGCAGGTAGACAATCTCCTCCAGGCGGATGGTCATGGCATAGTCCCAGTAGACGCTGGAAGGGGAGGGAGGGTCAAGCTTGCAGGACGTCTTCCCAACTTGCCATGGGGAAGCCCAATCCATGGGCTCCTCCACCCTCCTCACCAGGACCACCTATCCCCAACATCCATGTCCCAGTCTTCCCAGACTCTATCTCCCCTTCTTCTGGTTCCAGTACCCCAATTTTCCAAGGAATCCCCCCTACACACACATTTCTTTAACCCCAGTCCATGTGGCTAAGGCTGACCTCTCCTACCCTCCCCCACCTCAAGGACTCCAGGAATGGGCACCTGACCCTGGCTTGGCCACTCAGTATATGACACTGTTCCAGCCACTGTGATTGGTTCACAGATTGCCCCATGATGCAAGCAGAACCAATGAGACTCAATTATTGGATTTATGTTAGAAATCTCTGGGAAGGAGATGCTCCTTTCTGCTAGGAGAGTAGTGGTTAGGAGATAGAACTCTGGAGATGTAGAGGGCCATGGCAAGAAAAAGCCTGCCTGTGAATGGAGTCAACAGTTGGGAAAGTAGAGCCAAGAGATGGGAAGAGTTCAGGTCCTCATTTGAGTCCCTGGATCCAGCCATGCCTGAAGCCACCACCCTGGATTTTTCAGTTCATGTGAGCCAATGATTAAGGCAGTTTGAGTTTGGTTTTCTGTCACCAGCATCTAAGATAAGAGTATTGACCAACTCCAGGCCACCATGTGTCCATGTGGTTAGAACAGCCACTCAACAGCCTTAACTGCACAGGTCTCAGCAGGGTGACTTGAAGGCTTCCATGAACCTCATTTTCCTCCTCTATAAAACGGGGCTCATAATAATATCTACTGCATCGTGTTGCTGTGAGGATTAAATGGAATCACATATTTGAAGGGCTTAACACAGTGGTGATGCATGAAAAGGTACTTGGTGAACAGTCCCTGTGATGATTTACTTAAGGTTTTCCATTTCCAGCTCAATGCCTACTGCTGTCTTGAAACAGATTGCCCTTCCCCTCAGAACACAATGGACAGTGGGGGCCACAGGAGTGCACTGTTCAAGTTTCCTTCAGATCTTGCTGTGGGGAGCAGAGCTGACCAACCAACAGCTTCAGAGGCCGCCCCTGTGGATCCGCCACATCTGTGCTAAGGTCATGCTTCACTTGAGCTGCTTTTAGTCAGGACTGAGCACGTGGGGGTGACAGTGTAGGTCTATTCTTGTGGGCTGGGAGACTCCTCCAATGGTCAACTTTAGCCCAGGGATTCCCTACTGATCTGGCCAAATGTTCTTAGAACTGCACTGTGTCCGAGATTCTTCTTGGCCAGTCTTCCTTCCTTTCCCCATCCCTTCCCAGTAATAAGAACAGCTTCTCGGTCTGCCCGCCTCGTCCTGCTCCTCACTTTGATCCTTTGCAGGTTCTTCCCCCATTACATCTCTTCTGCACGTCTACTCCTGTCTTGGTGTCTGCTTCTTGGAGACACTAACACAGGCGTCAAGGTCAGGCAGGGTTTAAATCCCACTCCTGCCACCTACGTTGAGCCAGTCTTTCCCCGTCTCTGGGTCTCAGTTTCCTCTGATGTGAAGCAAGGAAGTTGGAATATAAGCTCTCCGAGGGTCCTTCCTGCACAGGTCTATACCAGAATCAGTCTCGTCAGGATCCATGGAGTGAATGTCCTTGGACGATGGTCAAGTACACAAGCGTTGTTCCGAGAAGCGGCCTCTGCCGAGCCCCTCACAAGGCGAGTCTCAGTGAGGAGCTCCTTCCCAGGGCTTCCACACCAGGCCCATCACACAGGGCTGCAATTGCCTGTTTTCTCCTCTGTCTCTCCAAGGGGTGCTGTGGGGGCCACACGAGTGCCCCCAGTTCCTGGAGAGGGACTGGGCTTTTTGTTCACTTCTGCAAAATGCTTAAAGAATGTTCATAATGAATGGTAAATGCTGGATCCTGGAATGCCCAGGAAACAAGGCAACTCTCCAATTACCACCAGACACCAGCAAGGAGGATCTCTGTGGCCACGGTCCTTTGGATCCACCTAAATTAACACCAACAAACCCCATGACCGGGATGCCTTTCCAGCTGCCAGGTTTCCTGCCAAGGGCTTTATATGCATTTTCTTATTGACTCTTCCCTGTATGTCTCTTCAGAGGTTCCATTACCACATCCCCATTTTACAGATGAACAAACTGAGGCTCAGGGAGGTGAAGTTGATTATCCAAGGTCACTCAACTGGGAAGGAACAAGAGTTGAGTTTCTGTTTTCGTTTTACATGTTCTAACGGCTTCTAGAGTGGAATTTCTGGGTCATATAGCAAGGGTATGTTATAAGAAACTTCCAAACTTGTTTGTAAAGTGGTTGGACCATCAGCAGTGTATGAGGGTTCCAGCTGTTCCACATGGCAGGGCTGAGATTTGAGCCAAGTCTGGGCTGACCCCAGAGACCAAATATCCACCTTTCTGGTGGTATTTCCCCTCAAACATCAGGAAACCCAGCTGGGGAGTTATGATCCTGGCTGTGTAAGAGGGAAGTCTGGCTGGGAAAAGAGGAAAGAGGTCCTGAACCTCCTCCTCCTTATCGTCATTGTCCCTTGATCCCCAGAGGGATGCTGGAGCCCCTGGGTTCCCCCCTTGCCCATGCCAACACACACATTTCTGACCCCTGGCTGTTTTTATTCCAGTGAGCCTCAGTTCCAGGCAAGGATAACAAGGATAGATGGGGGTTCAGAGCCCAGGGCTGGGGAAGTTCCCAACCCCATTAGCAGTGACCTTCGACGTGCAGATTCAGCTGGAACTAAATATTGAAGCACTTATGATATGCCTGTCCACAGAGGAAAAGATGATGCAGAAACAGGCAGAAACAGAGTCCCGATGATTTGAGCTGGAGGGAAGGTGCCTGGCAACCATTTGGTCCAATGTCTTTCCCAAAACATTAACATCAAAAGTTTCCTGCCCACACAATCCTGGGCTTAGGTCCAACCAACAAACAGAGTCCTTGTGTTGTTGAAAGCTTTGATGTTTGGTGGAAGACACGTCAATGTTTAGGAACCCCTGCAGACCCTTGGGGAACCCTTCATGTTTTGGAGAGCTTATCCTGTCCACCCACCTCATTTGATAGGAGAGGGAAGCTGAGGCCCAGAAAGGGGGAGTGATGTACCCCAGGTCATCCAGTGAGGTGAGGACCGAGCAAGGACTGGTTCCCATCACATCCATTTATTCATTGCTTATTTGTTGTCTCCTTCAGTACAATGTAAATACAGTGTAAGCTCTGAAAGATCGATTTTCCTCTCCTTTTACACATCTGTTCTCTCTCTTGGACCAAGCACAGTGTCTAGCACACAGTAGGTACTCAGTTAACATTTGATGAATGAATCCAGGTCCCCTGACTTCCCTGCTTTGCTTCACAGTTATTTGATATCTAAAGGGTGAGACAGTCGGAACACAAGTAGTAACAGATTTATTATGATTTTGTAAATGCTAAGAAGGAGATTCAGGGGACCTCCGTGGGACCTGAACTCAGCTGGGAGGTCAGGGAAGGCCTGATATAGAGATTTCAGATGAACAAGCTGATATAAGGTTCAAGGGCAGAAGCATTTCCTCGGCTCCCACGCTGCTCCTCCCAGAAGGTGTTGCCATCAGAAACTCAGGAGTCTGGCTGGAGCTGAATTACGTGGCCCAGCTGAGGACTGACTGCACCTCCCAATGACCGTCTCTGAGGACAGACGGTAACCCTTGCCCAGGAAGTGATCAGCTTAGAGAATGATATTAATCACACCAAAGCCTGGCGTTAATCGCACTGAGGCTTAACACTACACAGAATACAATGATAGTGCTCTGGTCATGGCTCTTGGAAAGAGTCCTTCTTTTTTATATATAAATATATATATTTATACTTACAAATATGTATATATATTTATAGATGAAATCCTATAATTTCATGATGTTTGTTTGCTACTGCAGGACAATATGAAAGGCAGAGGGGATGACGGGATGGCTGTTAGGGCTGCATCATGGGTACTTGAGTTCTATTTTTATGTTAGAAATTCCTCATAATCAAAAGTTTTGAAGAAATCGAGAACATGTATAATAATAATAATAGAGCCCGATGTGGGCTCAGAGCAGCAAAACCCATCATCCCTCCTCCCCACCGGCAGCCAACACTCCCCCAGCTGAAATCACCGGGCGGGCTGCACCTCTGCATGGCGGCTTCCCTGTGTTTTTCCTAAACTTTCCCTAATTGCGCTGGAACACAGGGGATCGCAGGCAGGGAATCCCTGGTCCCCGGGTCTCTTTGAAGTGTGACTCCAAGGCCTTTGCTGGGTCTTATAACTCGCAGGGTATTACAGGAGATACAGACCTGGACCAGATCCTCACAACCAACACCTCTGGCCTTCCTTTTGCATTGAGTGATGGGTAAGGTGGCAGGAGACTGGGGAGTATTTGCCATTTGCGGGCTTACGAGATCTTTGTTACGATTTCTCTCTCCGGGTGGTGTTTGCCCAGGGCACTGCCTAATACCTATATCCTAAGATTCTTCCAGTCAGTTCCCAGATCCTCCTGAGTTACCCACAAGGCCACAGCTGCAGGGAGGCTGGACCAAGTGGCCATAACAACCAGACGGAGCAGGGGCAGAGGCGGGGCACAAGGGACAGGGCACAAACATCCCTGCGCCGAGGGGAAGGGAGGCTCCCAGCACCCTACCTCTTCTCGTAGTCCAGGTCCCCCACAGACCCGTTCATCAGCTGGTTGGGCGTCCACTTCAAGGTCATGACGTCAGCTGTCTGGTGCAGGGACAGATACCCCGGCACAGCCTCCATGTCATCCCTCTGCAGAGACAGCAGGACTCAGGCCTGATCATAGCGCTGGCATCACAGTGGACACGGGCCCTGGCCCATGTGACTCAAGGGCACACAACCAGAACCAAGAGGTTGGCTCATTCCCTCCACGGCCATGTCCATCTGGAAGACCCCGAGCCTCCCTCCAGATGGCTGTGCTAAGCCAACCACCACGATGGGTTTGGTTCTACAGAGTCCAGCTGTGAAAGCCGCCCACCCCACCCTTTCATGTGGCTCAGGAGCCCTGATGCAAGGGTGGAGTCGGGGGGGATCTTCAGAACCAGGAAGGGGGCTCTGTCCTCTCAATAACACCCTTTCCAAAACGGAAGGCATGTATCTGCCATCACTGTGTCCAGTCTTAAGGGAGAAAGAGATGGCAGCCGAGTTCTGTTCCACAGATATTGCCCAGAACGCCCTCCCCAAATACCCTCTCCATACTCCCCACCCAGGAGCCCCATCCTCTGCCTTCCCAATATGCCTGCAGCGCTTCTCACCTGCTCTGCTCTATCCCAAGCGGGGTTTGGCGGAGGGGGCTGTCTCCAAGCCTCACACATGAGAGGCAGCCCTCCTCCCCCCAGATTCACCCCACAACATGTGGAGACAGACAACTAACATTTACTGAGCACCGAGGGTGTACCGAGCACGGCTCCACTCCATAAATATCTCAACCACACATGCCAGCAACCCCGGGAGGAAGCATCTTTGCCGTATTTCATCGATTCTAAGATACACAATTTTTTTTCACATTTTAGTGCACCTGAAACGGTGCATAGCAGGTTCAGTACAAATGAGTGAACTAAATGAGTGAGTGATTACAACAGAGAATGATAGATAGACAGCTGGCTGGACAGATGGATGGACAGATGAACTGGAAAACAAATGGACAAGTGCAGACATGGATTGATGATGGGTAGATGGATGGATTAATAGATGAATATAATTATGGGTGGATGGATGGAGGTAACGATGGGTAGATGAATGGATGGATGTAATAATGGGTAGATGGCTGTATGGACGTAATGATGGGTAGATGGATGGATGAATGAATGGGTGGTTGGGTGGATATAAATACAGGCCGATGGATAAAGAAATAGTGATGGATGCATGGATAGAGTGATGGGTGAATACAGAGACTGGTGGGTGGGTGGAGACTTTGACAGATGGATGAATAGATGGGTGAATGGGTGGATGGATGGATAGATGAGCAACCAGGAGCCAGAGGGAACTCCTCCTCTACAACCTGGAGCCAGACCCCCAGTGGAAGAACTGGGCCCAAGATGAACTCTCACCGGCTGAACCAGAACGTTGTTCTTGCCATAGAGCAGGGTGGCCCGGGAGTTCTGGTGCAGGGACTCTACGTAGTCACGGGCGGAGAGGGACGGCCGGTCATCCATGCTGCTGCTCGAATGCCTTTTCTGGATCTGGCAATGTGCGGGGAGGTGGCAGATGAGGTCTGGAGTGACCACCAAGGCCCCGGTCCACTCCCCACCTCCACACCAAGTCCAGAACTCAGCCAGACTCCCTCCCAGTGCCCCACCGTCCACCCCACTCACGCAGAGGGCCGGACGCTTGGTGGGCGAGTCCTGTCGCAGGTGCAAGCTGTGGATGCGGTGCCTCTGGACAAGCTCGTCAGCTGAGGGGTCCGTCCAGAAGTGATCGGAAGTCTTCATCTTGGTGTACTCCAGGGCGCAGGGCCCTACTGTGGAGCAGACAGGGGCTGGGAAGCCATCTCCCTGGAAAGTCCTCCCTCCCTTCTACCACCAGATGGACCACTTATTTCACCATCTCTCCCCTCCAGGCAGCTAGCATGACCCAGGGTCCTGCTAAAGAGAAACCAGCACAAGACCCTGAAAGCAAGAGGCAGGGAGCAGTTTTGAAGGGAGAGGCTGGAGGGAGGCGAGAGAGGCCCTTAGGAGGTGCCCCCTGGAGCTGAGACCAGAGATCCAGAGGAAGCTCAGAGCACTGGACCACTTACCCAACAAAGATGCAAGGATGGGGCCATCCACGGGGTCCATCAGGAGGGCTTCCTTCTCGTAATACTTACTAGCAAGAGAGGAAAGGACATGCAGGGTTGTATGGTGACCAGCGGAGGGTGCACAATCAACTACAACCTGAAGGTTAAGAGCAGACTGGGTTCAATGCCTCTCTGGTCACCCAGTACCTCTGTGAGCCTCAGCTGCCCCATCTGTAAAATGGGGATAATAATAATATGTCTCATAGGGCTGCCAAAGGACGTTTGAGAGAGACAACAGATGTAAGGCACTTAACACAGTGCTTGGCTATAACTGCTTAATACATGGCTTATTAATAATACATTATTATTAATGATGAGAGTAACAGGAAAAATCATTAGAAGGCTGCCGAGGCCTGGCTGTTCTGCTTCTCTTGCATCTTCCATTTCAAACATGAAGTCACTTAGAGGCTCAGATGATGTCTGCCCTTCCAATATTATTGAGGCAAACATATGCTTTTTAGCTGTGGTGTGTCCTCAAAAGCTGTAATCATAGGCCTTCCTGTCTGGAAAACTAAAGCAGATGACGCTGGCCTGACACGCTCAAAAATGCCTCCGGCCTCTGACTCTCCAAAATAACATGCAATGTTGTCAATACGTTCGTGCTGTTTTGTTTTTTGAGTTGTTGTGCACTGGTTTCTAATTCTTTGCAAACTCATACAATCTAGAAACTAACAGAACTTCAGAATTGGAAAGGACCTTGTTCTGACCTCCTGAGGGATCTCAGGCCCAGAGAAGGTAAGTGACTTGCTGGAGGCCACACAGCAGGTGGATGCAGCCTACACCCAGCAAGCTTAGCTCTTCTTCCCTTCCTACAACAGGGGGTGAAGAACACAGGATCTGGAGTCGGACTGAGTGGGAGCCCAGCTCGGCCACTCCCTCCCTCGCTGTGTGTCCCTGGGCAGGTGACTACCTTCTCTAAGCTTCGTTCGGTGCCCTCAGCTGTAAAGTGGGAAGAATGACAGAACTCACCCACTTGCGGATGCTGGGAGGAGCAAATGTCCAACTGCATGTATTAAGTCCCAACACCGTGAAGTTCTCACTAAATGTGGCAATATCATTGTAATTTTACCCCAAAGAAATCTTCAATCAACCATAAAATTGACTGAGGCAGAATGACACATCCTGGACATGCTCAACATCAAGTTTATACATTTTGGTGTCAGATCTGAAGCTAATACTTTGAGACACTTTCCAGTCCACCACTCATATTCTATTCCAAAAATCAGCACAGTTATGTGATCGTAACCTGGAAATAATGCCTTCAAATAGTAGGTAGGTTGGGAGCAAGATGTGACTATATAGGGTAGCCCCAGGGAGTTTCTTCCGGGTGATGGGTTTCTTTGGAACAGTTCTATAGCCTGAGTGTGGTGTTGGTTTTATGAAACTATGCATGTGTTAAAATTTCATAGAATTATATAGCAAAAAAAAAAAAAAGAATGTACCAATACTGTTGGTTTAACAGTATTGCATCAATGGCAATTTCTTGGTTTTAAGACTTGTACTACAGTTATGTAGGATGTTAACACTGAGGGTAGGCAAGAACCCTCTGTACTACTGTTTCAATTCTGTGTGAACCTAAAATTCAAAATACAGTGTTAATGAAGAAATAGTAGGTTGGTATTGCTGCTCAAATAAATTACTAAATAAATATGACCAACTTTTTCAGCGGGAAAACACAAGGTCATATGCCAAAGGCAATTAACTACAGAGACCCTGGACCCATAACAAGACAGGGGGCAGAGATGTGTTATAATTTACTAGAAGGTGAAGAGGTGAACTGGAACTCCAGAGCCTGGATTTCTTTCAGTTCCTCTCCTGCCTCTGGGCCTTTGCACCTGCTGTTCCCTTTGCTGAGAACACTCTTCCCCACACTGTTTCACAGTATCCCATCTTCTGGGATACTTTCCCTGACCACCCAGAGGAAGTTAAACACCACCCACCTGTCCTGGTACACTCATCACAAATTATCACAATTATTATTTGCCTGTTTTCCCTGCTACAATGTGAGCTTCATGAGGGGAAGGACTTTGGTTTGTACTTTCATACATATTTTCCTAGCAAAGAATAAAAGATGAGAACAATGATACCCACTCTGTGTGAGGATGTGGTTAAACAGGCATTTTCACATACTGAAAGATGGAAAGATTCTCAGATATATTTCTTTCTTTCTTCCATCCTCTCTGTCTCTCTTGCTGGAAAGGGGTGCTGGCCACGAGGAGTCTCAGATCATAGATCCTTCAGTAGATCTCCACTGTTCTTTTCATAATATCCAAGTTCTTAAACATGACAGGCAAGACCAGTGTATCCCCAACATCTAGGTTAGTGCCTGGCACATAGTATATGCTCATTAAATATTTATTGGGTGAATGAATGGATGCACGGATGAATGTTTGCCAAGAGGACTTACACTGTAAAACCTTTATACCATGTCAATCTGAGCTAGGAGAGAAAATGTAAAAAATATCACTATGCATTTCCAAAATGCTGTGTACTCACTAACTCCTTTTCTCACCTCTTCTCCAGAGTGGCAGCAATTCCCATCCTGTCCCATTCACCAGAAGAGACAACAGAGGCACAGAGAAGCTAAGTGAGTCCCCTAGGGCCACATAGTGAATAGACTGTGGGCTTCGTTCATGGGAAAAGGAACATCTCTAAGATTGCAAGATCCTTACACCCCACCCCAATTCCAGAGACCCTGAATTGCTATTAAGCACCCAAATATTCCCAAGGTTCTAAGCTAGGCTAGTTCAGAGTCAAACATCCAGAAGGCCCTTATTTAATCACCTTCACATCAAGTGTATATCAAGGGGGCAAAGGATAAGGAGCTTTGCGTGAGAGAGTGCAATTCCTAAGAAGGCCAGCAGGTGGTGGCAGAGCGCACCCAGGTGTCTTCCGCTCACCTGCTGTTTTCCACAAGGTAATGAACAATTTTGTCCAGGACCTTCTCAAACAAGGCTGTACGGATCCACAGGTGCTTGATGGCGAGTGGGGACAGGTTGGGCAGTTTTGGCAGCTTTCGCACATTCTCCTGGAGGCCCTGTATCTGGTTTCGCCTTCAAGACCAGTAAAGGAAGAGAATAGATATTCACAAAAGAGGAAATCCAACAGGATCAATATGCAAATAGGAAAGTGTCCAACTTCTCTAAGAAATCAAGGAATGTCAATTAGAACAACAACAAGAGCCCATATTGCTCCTGGAGAATGGGAAAAGAGTTGAAAAAATAATACCGAGTGAGTGTGAAGCTGTGGTAAAACTGACGCTCTCCTACATTGTGGATGGGTGAGCCAGATGCTCATACTGAAATGTCTTTGTTTTTTTAACATCTTTATTGGAGTATAATTGCTTTACAATGGTGTGTTAGTTTCTGCTTTATAACAAAGTGAATCAGTTATACATATACATATGTTCCCATATCTCTTCCTTCTTGCGTCTCCCTCCCACCCTCCCTATCCCACCCCTCTAGGTGGTCACAAAGCACCGAGTTGATCTCCCTGTGCTATGCGGCTGCTTCCCACTAGCTATCTATTTTACCTTTGGTAGTGTATATATGTCCATGCCACTCTCTCACTTTGTCACAGCTTACCCTTCCCCCTCCCCGTATCCTCAAGTCCATTCTCTAGTAGGTCTGTGTCTTTATTCCTGTCTTGCTCCTATTGAAATTTCTGTCTCTCTCTTACTTTCTCTCTCTCTTGGCTGGAAAAGAGTGCTGGCCAAGAAGAGTCTTGGATTATAGATCTTTTGGTGGCTCCCCATTGCCCTGGAGAAGGAAGCTTTTTAACATGACTAGCAGGGCACTCCATGACCTTGCCCGTTTGCCTCTCCAGCCACCTCCTTACCACTCTCTGCCTCTGACCCCATGATCCAGCCAGACAGAGATATCTGTGGATCCCTGAGGCTGTGAAGCTCTCATATGAGGACTTTCGTGAGCTGCTGCTTCTTCCCGGCTTCCCCCGCCCACCCTATTCCCTGCCTGACTCTTTCTCACTCTTGAGGTCTCAGCGAGGGCACCCCCTCCTACAGGAAGCCCTCTTGCACCAGCTGAAGCTGGGGAGGGGCCCCTCCTCTGTGTTCCCTCAACCTCTGCAGCTTAACTTCCCACTCACTTCTCTGTCTTCCCCTCCGCACTGTGACCTTGAGGGTATGGACAATGCAACTGCTTTTAAAATAAAATATTGAGTCTACCAAGTGGCAAGCCTTGGCCCTTTTTCACGCCTGTATCTCCAGGGCCCAGCACAGTGCCTGGCATATACAAAGGGCTCAGTAAATATGTCCATGAATGAATAATTGCACAAATGAATGAATGGACACCTGGAATGGACATCTCTCATTCCTCCATTAGAAAGTTGCTCCCAATGTTATGGAAGGTCCATGGAAATCCATCCCTTTTAAGAAGTTATCAGCAAACACCTGGGAATTTAGCAGATGGATTGGAAGGCACCTAAAGACCAGGTGGCTGAGGAGTCAGATTCCAAATGGGAGTTGGCAATGCCAAATCCACAGCCTTACCCATCATGCAGTTCTGGCCAGCAGCCCGGGGCTGGCAGGGCCTAAAGGGCAAGGAAAGGGCCATTTCTCATCCAGTGAAGTAGAGTAACCACTCATGGCAGAGAGGGCAAACACATGACATGCACGCCTCTCTCTCCCTTCTGTTGCCCATAACAGGCATGGCTAATCAATCCATGCCCTCTTTCCCATGTAGTCCACTCACAGCTCCAGAATCTTTCACAACACAACTCTCTGTGCAGCTACTAGGACCAAATGGGTTTGAAACCTATTTGCTATCCCTGACCAGGCTCCAGGTAGAGGGTTTGGCTGTGCAGTTGGGACGCTGGGGGTGGCTCGGGTGGAAGGCCCTCATGTGCACACTCTCAGGCCATGAGCCTCCCCCCAGTACACACAATCAGCCACTAAGACAACATCCCCTTCAATGGCTGCTTCACTGTGAGCATCTGTCCACACAGACAGAGACCATGTTGGTTATGTTAAACTTTGATCTTCCTGCATTTGGCACAGGTTTGGCTCAGGGTAGGCACTTATTCATTTTACAGTTGTTTCTTGGGCATCTCCCAGGTGCTGAGCACTGTCTCAGACACTGGGGACCTAATGGGGGATAGCACAGGTGCAGCTGCCTGCCCTCAAGGAGTTCAGAGTCAAGTGGGGGAGACAGACAACAATCAAGTAAACAGTAAACGAATGAATGAATGAATTACAGACGGTGATAACACCTGGGAAGACAATACACAGAGGGATATAAAAGAGAAAAGGGGTGAGGGGTGAAATTTACCATTAATTAGCGGAAGGCCTGAGGATGACAAGGAACCAGCCATGGAAGATGAGGGGTGTGAACTGGGTGGAGGGTACAGTGTGTGCAAAGGACCTGGCGGGTTGGAGAAGCAGAATGGAGAGTGGAGAGGGTGCAGGCTCTCACCGAGCCCGGGGAGGAGCAGGGGCTATCCTCTGGGGGTACCCTAGCCTGTACCCCGTTCTCAGCACTTACGCGCTCTCGATCAGCTGCTCCAGGTCCTGCACCTTGCGGCTCAGCTCCTCTGCTGGCGGGAAGCTCTTGCCCACTTTCATGAAGAGAGCTGCGATCTTGTTGCTGCGCAGGAAGCCAGCCGCTCGCCTCCGCAGGCCATGCAGGACGCAGGCCTCCACAGCCGCTGCAGGGACACAATGATCAGCAGGCCCTGCCCATGCTTCCCAGTGCCCAGCCTGGCTCTGAGCTTCCAACACACACAGGTACCTTGAAGATCCGGGGACCCCAGAATCACAAATTTCGTGACAGCATCATAGCAAAAAGCATGTATACCTCTCCACCATCCAGCCCATCAAAAAGGAGCAAGGGGGCTTAGTGGTGAACCCACGCAGGCCGCCCAAAGTCAGATTATCTCTGTTCACATTCTCTCCTGGCCAATAACCAGCTGTGTGACAGGGGTCAATTACTTCCCCTCCCTGTGCCTCAGTTTCCTCATCTGTAAAACGGGGATGGTATGAACATTAACCTCGTGAGGTTACTGTTAGGATGAGGTGGAAAAAATGCACGGAAAGCACTTTGCCAGAGCCTGGCACATAGTGTGTGCTTTACGAATGTTAGCTATTACTCCTGTCAGTGAGGGAGGGGAGCCTGGACCATGTGACTGCTGAGCTCTATTCCGGTTAGGGAGTCACACTGTTGTCACTACTACTGTGACTCCAGTAACAGCTAACATCATGGATCTCATCTGAGCTCTGCCACAGCCAGGCAGAAAGTAAAACCATCCATTTTTCAGATGTGGAAACTGAGGCTCCCAGAGGTAAACTGAACTGTCCAGGGCCACCCAGCAAATGAGTGATGGAGCTGGGATTCAAACCCACATCTGAACCCAAGGTGTGCTCACAACACTTGTGCCTCCACAAAGGGCCTTTGAAGAGAGGATTTAGTCATAATCTTCCCATTTCTGTGTTTCCCCTGGAGGCCCTGCCCAGTCCTCCTCAAATAAGAGACCTAGGGTGTAGCCTGGGTTCTACCACTAACTTGCTGTGTGACCTTAGGCAAATAACTTTCCCCCTCTGGTCCTCAGTGTTCCCTTCTAAGAAACAGACCCTGTGCAGGCCATTCTGATGGCCCCTATCTTATATCTGATACTCTCAGCAGCCTTTATTTATCTTCTTACTTTCCGTCTTACACAGCAGACTGGGAGCTCTCTGGTATGCACTGGAGCATAATCAATGTTTATGGGAAAATGTTAATTTATAATAAGAGCTACCCCTTCTTGGGCATCTACTCAGCCAGTGTTAAGGTTTACCTTCCCTGATCCCCGTGGCAAAACTCATTAAGCAAGTGTTCTAGTTACTGTCTTTTCAGAAGAGCACACCAGCACTCAAGAGCCTGGCCAAGGGCTTCCCTGGTGGCGCAGTGGTTGGGAGTCCGCCTGCCGATGCAGGGGGTGCGGGTTCGTGCCCTGGTCCGGGAGGATCCCGCGTGCCGCGGAGCGGCTGGGCCCGTGAGCCATGGCCGCTGAGCCTGCGCTCCACAACGGGAGAGGCCACACAGTGAGAGGCCCGCGTACCGCAAAAAAAAAAAAAAAAAAAAAAGGAGGTTGGCCAAGGTCATGCCATGTGCAAGGAGAAATACTGAGAGGTTTCAGTTTAATTGCTTGTGTTGCTTTTGTTGTTGTTGTTAGCAATGACTTGGCTTTGAAGGATTGTTCACATGTTGCCTAATCTGCTCATGGATTTAAAATATTCTGGGTGATGATCTCTAAAATATCTTCAGTTTTGCTTACATACCCAGAACTTTCATTTCTTTATACTGATTAAGTTCATGATCCATTCTGGCTTGGTAGACATTATTCCATTCTTTCCAACAATGGCTCATAAGGAACAATGGACAAAAGAAACCTCAGGGACATCCCTCAGGTCTCATTTAGAGCCAGCAGATTTCTCTCACCCCCAAACTCTGATCAGAGTTAGAGAATTATTATGATTTTTATCACTCTCTAGTCTTCTAAGTCTTTAATTGGTAGGTATGCTAGTGAGTCCCAAAATAGACATGCAAATCATGTCTTTTGCAAATAAAAATGTCCAGGAGAAAAAAGAAAGCCAGAGATACATATCTATATTTATATAGAGAGATATATATTCCCATATATATGTGTATATATATGTGCACGCATAAATGTGTATTTTTTTTTTTTTTTTTTTTTTTTTTTTTTGTTGTATGCGGGCCTCTCACAGTTGTGACCTCTCCCGTTGCGGAGCACAGGCTCCGGACGCGCAGGCTCAGCGGCCATGGCTCACGGGCCCAGCCGCTCCGCGGCATGTGGGATCTTCCCGGACCGGGGCACGAACCCGCGTCCCCTGCATCGGCAGGCAGACTCTCAACCACTGCGCCACCAGGGAAGCCCATAAATGTGTATTTTTATACATAACGTAACATCTTACAGAAAAACCCGAATGAACTTTTTGGCCAACCCAGTATATACATAAAACATATTTCTGGGACTTCCCTGGTAGTCCAGTGGTTAAGACTTGGCGCTTTCACTGCCATGGGCCCAGGTTTGATCTCTGCTCAGGGAACTAAGATCCCACAAGCCAGGAGGTGCAGCCAATATATATATATATATATATATATATATTTAAATAAATGCATTATCACCTAAAAAAATAAGATCTTGCCCAAGGTCACCCAACCAAGAAATGGCAGCGGTGGGATGTGAACAGAGGTGGGCTGCAAGGGGCTGAGCTGACGTCAGTGGTCTCCCAGGTCATGGCATGTGCTCGGCCAGCTGCAGGCCCATGGGTGGTGTCCCCGGCCATCTGGATGGAGGCTGATGGGCCCCTCTTTAGGGCCAAGACCGTGAGGGGGGCATTACAGCTTGTCCTTTGTTATGAGACTCCAATCACGAAATAAAAAGGTGTTCAGGGAGAAAGAAAAACTCCCACGTATACGTACACACTGCTTAGGCACTGAATCTGACTTCAGGGACACGGTAAGACACCTGTCTCTAGCCATTGTGAAAGTACAGTAAGAACCTGGCAGCGAGGTTATTCCTGGAACCCTGTGGGCCTCGCAGGTTCAAGGAGAAAAGTCTCAGTCACACTCTGAGCCTGCCTCCTTTGCTGAGCCAGCTGGAAGAGATCCCTCGGGATGTGTCTATGGCTCTTGATTCCTTTCATTTTTTTAAGTCCTCATTCATCCTCTCTCTTTACCTGGGTGAGGAAAGGATGTAGAGCCCATCCCTTAGATGCAAGACCCTTGGTCGCTTGGGGTAGGGTCAGTGCGAACGGAACCCACGGGAGGGAAGGCATCCTTCTGTGTCAACCATGATTACCTTTTCCCAGGGTGCAGATGTCATTCTTAATTTCTTCTCTACTTCCAAATCTTTTCTCTACTTCCAAATTCCCTAATGGAGTCCCTTTAGAATCCAAAAATAACTTCGCAGTTAAAAAGCAAAAGAATGACATGAGAACTTTGCTCAAAGAAAGACGCCACATCCCCAAGGCAGCCCACAGAGGGAAAAAAAAGCCGCTTTTCAAGGCCACGGGCCACTAACTCACCACAGAAAGAGATGATGTGGCTGCTGTCTTCATGGACAAACTTGCGCGTGACGGCTTCCTCCATAATCTGCTTCACCTGGAAGGCAGAGGCACCAGAGGGGGAGACCCAAACCCAGTCGGGGTGCAGACACTCAAAGGGCTACATCACCCCCCACGGTGTTCTCAGGCTGCTTGGGATGTTTTGGTAACTGCTTTCCTTCCACATCCTCCCTGCTGTGTTTTCTGTAGGGCTAGGGCCTGTGGCCTCTGATAGCTGCACACTTCACACTGAACTAAATTATTTTTTCAGGCTCTCTGCACAGTGGGCTTCTCTTGAGGTGTCACGAAAAATGTCCTCTCCTTCCTGACTGTCCACATCATCTAAGGCATCCCACCTCTAACTCCTTCCATCCCCTGTTATGGTTTCTTCAGAGTACTTCCTGTCCTATTTGTTTATTGTCTGTCTCCATCTTCTACAATATAATTTCCCCAAGGGCAGGGCCTTGTCTGCCTTTTTTCACGGCTGTATCCATGGAGGCTAGAACAGTGCCTGGTCCACAGTAGGTCTCCATAAATATTTTCTAAGTGAGTGGATGAATGAATGAATGAATGAAAGGGGTATATTACAAAAAACAGGAAGGTGTAGTATGAAAAATCAGCCCTGGAATCCTGTAGACCACAGTTCAAACCCCTGCTCAGGTACCTACCAGCTGGATTTGTGATCTTATTTTGGGAAACAGAGGCTTAGCAACGTGTAGAAATTCACCCAGAAACGTAGAGCTGGCCCAGAGTGGAGACAGAATCCAAGCTGGGTCTGACCCCCCAGGCTGTGTGTTTTTCATACTACATTCACTCATTCAACAAATATTTATTGAACACCTGTGATGTGCCAGGCACAGGGGACACAGCGCTGAAAGGGCAGTCATGCCCCTGCTTATGGAGGTGGCCCTTTGGTGGCCTGAATGTCCTTCTGCTCTGCTGGATTCTGGGCCCCACTGTGTCTGGAGTCACTGTAGTACTTTAGCAAAGTGTTTCTCCCCTCTAAGGCCTCAGTTTGCCCACCTGGAGGTTGAGGAGGTCAGAAGAGATGACCTCAAAACCTGGTCCCCGCTCTACATCTCTGGGGCTGTGACGTGGGGATTCGGAATCCACCCGCATCGATGAGCCCCTACTCCCTTCTGGCTGCCCTGCAGCCCACCTACACTCGGCCTGGCCAGCCCATCCATGCGCCTGTCTGAGAGTAGTCTCAGGCTCTCAGTGTCCCTCTCTCCCTTCCTTCTGATTGCCTTCTGGAGGGGAAGACAGAACCCAAAGCATCCTTGGCCATGTTCTCCGGAAAAACACATGGCAGTGACCACCTGAGAGCTGACACAGCACCTCCCCAGACACAACCAAGTCAGCACCCGCACCGTGAACAGCTCCCGGCCACCAAGCCCAGCAAGCTCTAAGCCTGGTTTTGCCAGCAGCATTTCAAAGTCTGAAAACTATCTAACTGAGCCTGTGGAACTGGTCCCAATTACAAATGGGGAAACTGAGGTTCAGGAAGATGAACTAGCCCACCCAAGGCCACACGGCTAGGAAGCAGCAGAGCTGGAATTCCAACTTATAAAAATGTTTCTCATTTTGGCTCCAGCTGCCATATCCTGACCCGTCTAGCTACTAGCTGTATTTCCTCAGGCAGCTCATGTCGCCTCTCTGAACCTTAGTTTTCTCACTGGGTAAAGGGCTTGTAGGAACAGCACCTACAAGGGGCAATGGGAGGACTGCACAAGGTAATGCACCGCATGTGCTGAGTACAGAGCCTGGTGTGCAGTGTACCTGTGATAAACGTTAGCTGCATGCAGGTCATTGCCCTACCGAGAACCTCACACCTGGCCTCCTTTACCGTTATTCTGGTCCTGCCTGAAACATCACCTGTTAAGATTAAATTTCCTTGCTTGGGGGCCCACAGTGGCTGCTTTTTGTAACATCCATCAGATTTGTGATGATTTTGTCAGCATCTGTTCCCCCTGCCAAGCTGTGGACCCCATGAGGGCAAGCACTCCGTGTCTCTCTGCTTAACAACTGTGGTTCCAGCACATAGTAGGTGCTCAATAAAGTTCTGTTTGAGGAATGAATGGCTTGAAAGATCATGATTGACTTCTGCTTTGGTAGAATATTCTAGTTGAAAAACATGCTTTCTTGTCACTATAATCATGGGTAAACGGAGTAGCAGTATAATGACCCCTGGAGCAAACAAAGGCACAGAGAGGCGGAGTAACCTGCCCAGAGTCACACAGCCGGTGACGAACGGATTCAGGGCTTGGACCCAGGTTTATCCGACTCCAGGGGTTGAGCCCCTTCTACAACATGCCGTTAAGCCCACATGGTCTCAGAGCATTTGTCCCCCTCTCTGCCCTCCTCAGCCTCAGGTACCTGCCTCCCTCTTTTCTCTGCTCCCAGCACCTAGACTTGGACATCCTTTGGGAATAGAGGCAGAGGGAGTGAGTTCAGGCCAAATAGTGGCGACAGTAGACTGTCAGGGAGGCATGGGGTGGGTGTCCAGGCAGCTGGATCGGGAGGACTTTCGAAAGCACAGTGAGTAATCAACAGCCAAGAATCGGGAGCCAAGCAGACGTGGGTTCAAATCCTGGCTCAGCCACTTACTAGCTGTAGGAGCTTAGGCAAACTCCTTTACCTATAGCTCCAATTTCTACAGAATCATTTCACTGACTCTTTTGGCTCCACCATTGAAACAGACTTAGAGTCCAACCATTTTTCCTCCCCTCCACCAGCACTGCCCAGGTGCCAGTGATGCTGGTCCAAGTCATATCTCTCCTAGATTGACACTGTAACCTCTCACTGGTCTCCCTGCATCTACATCCTAGAGGCTGTCTTAACAGCCTTAACAGTGTCCAGAAGGATCTTGTTAAAAGGTAAGTCAACAGAACAACCAGACAGAAGGCCGATAAGGAAACAGGGGACTTGGACGACATTATAGACCAACTGGACCTAACAGACACATGGACTGTCCAACCAACAAGAGCAGAATACACACTTTTCTCAAGTGTACATGGAATAGTCTTCAGATTAGTGTGTTAGGGCACAAAACAAGTCTTAATAAATTTTAAAAGACTGAAATCAAAGAAAGTATCTCTTCCGATCACAATGGAATGAAGCTAGAAATCAACAGCAGAAGGAAAACTGGGAAATCCAGAAATAACTGAAAATTTAAACACACACTTAAACAATGAGTCAAAGAAGAAATCACAAGAAAAATCAACAAACGTCTTGAGACAAAAGAAAATGAAAACACAACATGCAAACATTTATGGGATGAAAGGGAAGCAGTGATAAGAGGGAAATTTACAGTTGGAAATACTTACCTTAAAGAATAAAGATCCCAAATCAGCAATCTAACTTTACACCTTAACGAACCATAAAAGAATAAACTAAACCCAAAGCTAGCAGAGGGGAATCAAGATTAGAAATAAACAAAATAGAGAACAGAAAAAATTAACAAAAGCAAGAGTTGGTTCAAACAATCAGCAAAATTGACAAACCTTTAAGCTGGACTGACTAAGAAAAAAGGAGAGGGCTTCCCCTCTGAGAACCAGCCCTCGGATACTGAGTTCAAGGTGGAGAGAGCTGCAGGGATGGAGTAAGACAGTCCTGCCCTGAAGGGGCCCTTAGTCCAAAGAGCCACAAGCTAAGAGAGGTGGGAGGTAAGTGCGATGGGGACCAGCAGAGCTCCTCGGGTGGGGCCCAGAAGCACCAGCACTGGCACCGGCTGGGAACTGGTCAGAGATACAGATGCTCGGCCTCACCCTGGACCTACTGAATCAGAAACTCTGGGGTGGTGATCAAGCCCTCCAGGTGATCTCAAGCACGCTCAGACTGTACTCAAGGATCTAAGGGGATGGAAAAGGAGAGGCGGGGAAAGTGGGGAAGGGTGGGGGAGGATATAAAATATAAAATAAGGAGCTGCCCCCAAATCCTTAAGAAAGAGGTGTAGCAGTCACAGCTGTCTCTGGGGACCCTCCCCACACAGGCTGCCCCTTCTGGGAACCTCTCCCTCCCACCCTGATCAGACTGGGGGCAGTAGCGGGTCCTGGTTCCCCAACGTTAATATCACGGGGTGCTGCATGCTTCCTGGGGCCTCACAGCATCCTTCCCTTGCCTTAGTCAACAGCCCTTTATTAAATTCACCTTGGGAAGCACTTGCTTCCTATCGGCACCCTGACTGCACACACACATTGTCTCAACTCCAGAATCTGCAGAGCGGAGAAGGCCCTCTGCTTACAGCTGTGGATTCTGAAATTCAAAGGGTCACACAGCTGGGAAGCCGGCTGCAGGGAGGAGCCCGTGGCTGCCTGGCTCTGGGCCTCTTGTCCTGGGGATGGATCTGGGGGTGGGTGGTGGAGGGGAGAATGCAGCACCCAGGGTGTTCTCAGCCTGAACAAGGGGTTCCAGCGAGTGAGGGCCCCTCCCCACCTCCGTTGGCTCCCAGCTGTGGGCTAGAATATCTTCCCAGAATTTCATAACAGGCTGACAGCCGGAGGCCAGGAGAGGAAATTAAAAAGCAATGCTGTGGGAGCCTCCCCCAGAAGGTCACTGAGAGTCTTGCAGAAGAGGGCATGGTCTCGCCGCAAGAAGAAAGAGGCTGCTGCCCACTCCTGCGAGGGGGGGACCCATCCCCGGGGACAGGTCAGCACTGGGGGTGGGGGAAGAGGGTCTGGCAGCTGCAGAAGACTTCTGAAATTAGCTCAACCACCTTCCCCCTCTCACACCCCCAGACATGGTCTTGAACTTGGTCCACGTTGGAGGCAGACAGACTGAGGGACCGTGGGGTGGTTTGGAGACAGTGGCAGTGGCAGTGTGATTTTCTAAGCTTTGGACCAGGAATCCCGCCCCATTTGGGCGGCACAGAGGCAGTGACTATGGTTGGCGCCACTCTAGAGCCACACAGACCTGCATTCTCATCCCAGCCCGGCCACTCACGTCCAGTGTGAGCTCGGTCGAGTCGTGCCCCTGCTGGCACCTCAGTTTCCTCATCTGTAAAGGGGAACCTATCACCCCCTGGGGCTGTGCTGAGAATTAAATGCGATGTGACTGGTG